TCGTCGTCAATGGACAAAACGGCAAGGTTTGACAGCGCAGTGCGCCGAGATCACGCGATCAGGGGTTGATTTACACCTATCACGTTAAACGGACAAACTCTGCCAAAATCACCTTTCGTTCTGTTTGCCAAAGAAGTAACTGTCACCTTTAATTCGCACACCCTGTGCATGCGATACGTGCGGCAAGCGTTATCTCGATGCGCGAACAATCAGCGGAGGACAAAGATCGATCGCAAAGCCAAGTGTAAGTTTCGTTGACACAGAGATGAGTTCCACTTGTATGTGGGTTAAACGCATCCAAGACACGATTCGGGTTTATGGCACTGGTTCGCCAAGGCGACGCATCTGTGACTTTGGTCCGGCACGCTACAAGATCCAAGTGCATCGTTCGCTGTCGCTTCGAATGCATGTCGATGAAACATCTTGGAACGTGGCCAGCGAGAACGAAACTTCCAAAATCCTGCATCTTTTCGATAAAAGGCCATCGATCGGATAGAGAATCGAGCAGATCTCCGATAGCCGCCGATTGCCGACTTGAAATTCTAATTTCCTACTCGCCGTTGTTTGAAATCTCAACTGTCCTGACTTTTACGTATCCCATGATACGTGCGCCGTATTTTACTATCCGTCAACCTGCCAGTTATCGTGGCGATCCCCCAATGATTGATCGTGCAAAGTTCGACGAACGAGAGAAAGGAGACAAGAACGCAAACAGCCAAACGCACGAACAAGGACCAGTCGATAAATTATTTTTAGAACGTTTGCTTGGCCAACGCGGAATTAACGATCGAACCTGGCAAACGAGGACGATACGATCGAGGTCAGTCGCGATTACCCTGCGAGGAAACGATACCGTTTACCTTGAACATCGAATCCTTCCTGCGACGACCCCTTAGCCGCCAAGGACACGCATGTATATCTCGCGTACAGACGTTCTCTCCTCGATTACCACACCCTTTGTATTCACTAATAGCGATAGAAATATAAACACATGAAAATACATACGTACTCCAATATGTCGCGAAATCTCATCATTTTGGAAAGGAAACGCGCGGCCGCCCGAAATGAAAATCACTACTACCGACGATTAAAGATTTTCAACAACCCCGTACGTTTCTTCTACGGGAAAATTCAATCATCCGATTAACCATTAAGCATGATAATTTAGCACGGACACACTTTTAATCGATATTTATAGAAGCCTTTCAGTATTTATAGGTCGACCGACTTCGTATTTATAAAGTTGATGTGAAAGTGTGCCATTAATGACAAAAAAGAAAAAAAAGAGAAGAGTGAAAAATGAAGGAAAATATAGGAAAGACGAAAGAGAAGGGAAAAGGGGAGAAGAGAGATTCGCGGAAAGATACCTGTTCGACGGAAAAATAGGTTTTCGTCGAACACCATCGCGAGTATCCCTGATTTTGCTTGCAGCAGAGTCGAAAGAAAGAAGAAGGGAATAGCGGGTAAAACGTAGTCACTGGGAGAGCGCGTGAACTTTTGACCTCGGCGCTAGGAGCGCGTACCAACCCCAATCGGACCAGCTAGCTAGAAACATTCCTATTAACCGTTTGCGTACCCCGCCTTTCCTCTCCAACTACAGTTATTCGCATTAATACTCCAACGCCTTTATAATTTTCACTTGTATACTCCATATCTCGATCGAATATTTATGTAGAAACAAAAAGTCACTGTAAAAAATTGGATTACGATATCCAAAGACTGGCAGTACAAAATAATATGCATTTGTCACGAATTATTGTTTAAATATTTTAAAAAAGCAGTCAATTTTCATGTCGCGTTAATATTTCATTCGCGGACACGTTGTAAATCGAAATTTAAACTACGTTACAACGATCTTCTTTGTAAATTTGACGATTGTTCGGACCTATGCCACCTCGAATAATACACACAGAAATAAAAAAAATTATATCCTATTAACGATTTACGTTACTTATTCTTCGGCTGTTCGATAACACAAATCGATACCAAAAATAGTCGTTACCTCGATTTTATGTAAACCACATAGTAGAGGAATTATTATCGAGAATACCTGTATTTTCATGCTAAAAACTTGCGCGAAGACGATGCGTATCGTGTGGCGAAACGAAGGGCAGAAATTTTCGTGTATCATCGACGCGATGTAAACGCGACCTGTTCATAAAGTTATAACACACACAAGACACCGATAAAATCGACACGGCTGTATATGCATAAATGAATATGCATGCAGGCGGGAACATCGACGACTCACTCGAAAGCTTCATCTTTGAAAACGTAATTAACCGCATACGTGCTTAATACCGAAGGAACCGAGGCCTGCGTGGCACGAGCGTCCTCGGGTATCCTCGAACGTCCTCGAGTGTCCTCGAGCGCGACTCGATCGCATGTTTTATAAAACTGCAAATATAAAGCGTGTCCGTCGACCTTCGGCGTACATCTACTTACACTGTTCGCCCTTTTCCGCAGCTTATTAGGTCCTATTCTACCGCATACCGCCGTTACGTTTTCATTCACCGTTTCCTTCCCCGAGACTCGCGTGATGTTGCCTAAAAGTGGAAAAATTCGACGGTAATACGACGATATTAGTCTATCGGATACTTTTACGCATGCAGAGTATCGAATGATCCTTCAGGACGCGCGATATGAATATTTCGAACGTTCCAACTGGTTCAAACGACAAATCGATAAAGTATATCTCGATCGCGTTGTTTACGACCCGATACCGAGAAACGCGATTGGTTGCAGTCACGAATTCATTTCGTCGAAAATTAAAACGGGTTGCAATGTTAATAGAAGAAAGGGCGTCGTAAAAGTCCCGTAGCTGTGATGCTACGTGTTCACACCGTATCGCGATCGTGTAAGCTTTCCCATTATTTTAATTTAATCGTAATATAATAGTTTTTCACAAAAAGAAAACCACCATCTTTTACAATTCGCCTAGAAACGAAACGCAAATGTTATTTTTGGCACTGTATCATTATCGGAATATGTGTGATATATGTTGTATATACATATAGATACATATATATATAGCGTGTGTGTGTATGTAGTCGCTTCACATTACAACGAAAAGATTGTCACAACGCTTCATTACAATGGAAATTTTACGATAGATTTGAATCTACATGGCGAATAAATATCTAAATACTAGTATTAAATACTGCGAGTTGAAATATTTACTCGATATTCGATAAATAATTCGATAAGTATCGATCCAATATGGCCGATCAATGGCGAACCGAGGAAACGAAGCGAATTAAATCGAAAGATTCTTCCCGTGACAAGTGAATCCGATCGAATTAATCAAGAATGGCATCGACTAAAGGAGATTAAAGGAATTGACTATATATCGCCTTTTCTGTCGTCGTTCTCTATGAGTAGTATTATTACACTCGATCTATCCGATTTGTGCTCATTCTACGAACTCTATGAACGATGAAATATCAATATTATCAATGAACAGTAACGAAGTAACGAAGCCAGTAACGAAAACACGGTGAAAGAGGTCTCCCAAATGTTGCCCTCGCTCTCTATTTTGCTAAATATCCACATTCACAGATCTCTCGTGTTTACATGGCGTAGGTTAAATCGAAAACGAATTGTAGGTTATTTCGCAATGTCAAAGACACAATGCTTGACTCTACGTTAGAAACCATACGCCCTATACGCAATTCAGTAACAAAGGAAATGTGAATCGTTCAAGTGAAAGAAGAGCGAAAGTTCACTCGCGTAAGAATATGTCACGCACGATCTCGTAACGATAGTTGATCCAGCGATCGTTCGTAAATACCCGTTTGTGAGCAGAAATTCCTCAAATACTCCCATTATGTCACTCGCGAATCCAAATCTGGCACATGATCAAAAGACTCACCGAAACGATGCTCTCTGGTAACGCGATCGTTTAGATTCTCGCTCGTTGATTCGTCAACAGTTCGGAGAATTAATCTGATCTTCAATCTAACGTCGAATAGAGGAAGAACCGCACAGTGTTATTCGATGGGAACATCCGAGATCAGATTCAGACTGAAGCACAATGAAAAGGAACGTAGATGGACGTATGCGGCAAGTAATCGCGCAGAAAGACGTCAATAAAGACACACACCCGACCGCGTTAAATTTCAGACTGAGGGTTGTTTCGGCGCGACACTACCGCACCGCCACCCCTCGACCAGCAAGCTCACTAAACACCAGACCGCCACGGCCGGCACCGCCGAACCATCGAACTAACGAACCAACGAAACTGCGAATCATTCGACATTCTCTGCTGCCAACTATTGTTTTGCAAAACGATTGGCTCGAATTGTGCTTTCTATAGCTTTCCGGTACGTTTTACGACTTTGTCTATATCCCGTTTCTTCGTTTCTCGAGGTTATTATGCTACTTCGCGTCGACTTCTATCTTCCTTTCTAATTAATTTTTGCTTACAGCTCATCTCCTAATGGCCAGCCCGCCTTAATTGATCAATCACCTTAGCACCTTCTGATAGCTGTTCGATCCTTTAACGAAACAAGTTTACCGAAACAATGGATTCGTTTCACGTATAAACATTACGTCGGGTCTAAGCCTTTTCCCGACGACAACGACAAAACACGAACATTCGCGCATGTATATACATGTAATCTCACGATAACGATACTGACCGCCGCTAGTAAACAGTAATTTTATACTCGCTACAACAAATTCTTGCATAATTATGTTAGAACCATTCCATCTTTCGATAAGTTACAAGGATAAATTGCGCAATTGCCGTGTAAAATTCACTCGACGCTGTATAAGGCAGAAAAGTTTACGGATTCTCTGTGCCCGGTATGGATAAATTTCTTTTCTGCAAAATTTCACTTTTGACTCTCGGATGTAAGTATTTTATTACCTTAAGAAATACGTAGTTCTTTTTCCACGTGTCGAACAAATTGTCAGACTAGCTTTGCATTACGATTGAAATACAGTGTAAATGAAACTCAAGAGACAATCATTTGACGGCGCTTTCGAATATCCTTAGTGAGAACGAGTGGACTGGAACTGCCATCGGTAGATCGAATCGTCGATGGAGCATTTATCGATATCAAGAATGTGCCGTATATGGCAAGTAATTACGCCAATTTCTTAACCGCTTTTTTATTTTCTTTTTTCTTCCAATTTTCCTAATATTCATTAGAACGTTCATGAACCGCTGACGAAATGAAATTAAAATGATAAATAATGAAACGATTATTCACGATAGTTGTCGTACATGGTAAACGATAATCACGCGTGTGGTGCTGCTGTCATAAATAACGAATGGGGATTAACCGCTGCACATTGCGTTATTCCGTAAGTAGGGTTTTACTTCGTGAAACCGAGTCCCGATTTGTTTTCGAAATATTTAATACTAATTCAACGGTCATAGATTTGTCGATAATCCCTCGGTTTTGATAAGCGTCCGTAGTGGATCCAACAGACACGATGCTGGTGGAACTATCCACAATGTAACGACGTTTTCTTACCATGAAAAGTACAATGACGAAAACAATGATTACGATATCGCAGTGTTTAAGGTGCATCCACCGTTCGATTTTAACGATAAGACACAACCAATTAAGTTGCCTGAAAGCACTGCATATGTTAACACAAACTGGGGTTTAGTTGCCGGTTGGGGCTACTTCATCGTAAGTTCATTTATTTACACACACACACACACACACCCGCGCGCGCGCACACACATATATAAATTTACCTTTTATTCGAAGCTGTAAACGATCGTACAACTATCACGAAAAGACAAACTTTTAGGACTCCGATCCGATATTATCGGAGAATCTACAATACGTTATTGTGCCAAAAGTGAAGAAAGAGACGTGCAAGCAAGACTACGAGGATAGATATGAAATAACAGAGCACCAAGTTTGTTACGGGTTTTCGCAAGGAGGAAAAGATGCATGCAAAGTAAGCTATACTTTATGTTAATAATCAAAACAATGTATTCTGATTATCGTTAATTTTATCGTATAGGGTGATTCCGGTGGTCCACTAGTTAACAACGTTACCGTAATCGGTATAACTTCGTGGGGTTATGATTGCGGTCAACCAAACTCGCCTGGCGTTTACACCGACGTTATCGATCTAGTAGAATGGATTAAAAATAAAACTATGTCAACTCTATAAATTGCTCAATAATTTTAATTAATCTGTCTTACACTTTCAAGCGAACAATGAAAATCATTCATCATTGCGATAAAGGTCTACTTTGTAATAGATCAATAACGTTAAATTAAATGTTATAAACACTTACCAAAGTCTATCATTATTTTTCATACTTTCATGTGCTCTAATTCGGTAAAAATAACTGAATGCTTCTTTCATCTTTAGATATCACGAACTTGGCCTGTTTATAATTCAAAGGACTAGCTTTCCTTTGCGATGACCATATTTCGTAACCGAGTTTATAAAATTTCGGTAAACGATCGAAACCACCAGCATCTGCTAAGGAATCGTTGTATTCCCATTGTTTATTCATTAGTTTATGCGCATGCCTTTTCTTTAACGTCTTCAACGTCGAGTCTTCCAACATGACTGACGTTGACGGTAAACTTGCTCTTTTCTCTAATAACGCAAGAAAATATTGTACCTGAAACATGTATACTATTAAGTTTAATATAAATATTTGATATAACGTAATATAATAATTTAATATGTCAATTGTTACTTGTATATGAAACATGGGAAATGGAACAACAACAGTAGGCACTCCAATGATACACATCGTAGGATGAACAATATTAATTAAATGTTTATACAGAGGAGTTATAAAATTATCATCCACACGTATGCCACAGCTCTCGTCCAAAAACGGAAAACTGTACCAATACCCGGTACAAAACATAAATACGTCCACTGTAACGAAACTATGGTCCTTTAAAAAAATTTTTTCTGTCTCTATTTTCTCTACTCCTAATACCTCAATTATGTTCGGCCCCAAGGAATTATTTAACCTAAGTACATCAAAAACATGATATTCACTCTACCAATATAAAATTACAAATATATACCGTCGTTGTTCTAATGTCAAGAAAGATACCTTTCGTTATTATGGCTTAAATATACTCGAGTTACATGGTTAGCCAGATCAACAGCGATATCGACACCAGAAGCAGCTGCTCCCAAAATTAAAACGCTCTTACCGGCAAAATCTTCTGCTTTTCTATATGAATGACTATGTATTATCGTACCTGGAAAATTTTCGATTCCAGGTATCGTTGGCATATAAGGATCGAAGTAATGTCTAAATTATATATACATAAAAGAATAATGAAATTTAAGTCAATCATAGAGTCATTTATCGTAGAATTCTTGATATGTAATATTAAGAAAGAACGCACCCATTACAAATCATAATAGCGTCAAAAATAATTTCTTCCTCTTCCTTTGTTTTCATTATTTTTACTCGTACACTCCATTCCTCTTTGCCACCAGCTGAGGTTTTTAGTCGGACGGATTCCACCCTTGTGCCAAACTATAAATATATATCGTTAGTTATAAATCATTAAGAATTTTCGCATATAAAAATGAGACGTGTTTCTACTTACTTGAATATGTTTAACCAAATCAAAATGCTCCGCATAATTTTGTAAGTAAGTCCGAACTTCCTGATGGGTCACGCAACATGGTTCTTCGGCATTTAATCTCCGATAGTTAGGAAAATTCATAATTGCTGCAGGTAAATTAGTTCTACAATAAATATGTAAATATCAGTACCTCGGTTTAAACTCTGACGTTACTGAAAAGCAAGTCTATTTGAGATTAATTAATTCATGCAAAATTGAACCTTAGATCTCGATACATGCTCGAATGTACGGGCAAGCCATTTTCATCAACTTCAGTTGCTTCTTTGTAAATCCAGGTACCACCTATATCATTTGTCTGCTCGTAAACTTTCAATTCGAAATTTGAACTTCGCGCAAAGTGATTCGTTGCGCAAAGACCAGCTGCGCCGGCACCTATTACGCACACTTTCCTCCTTTCCATCAATTCAGCCATTTACAGATTCGTATCAAACGTAACCTATGTACCAAAAATCGTTCAAAATTATCGAAACCATCGATCATTTCTACGGAAGATTATGAGATTTTCGACATTTCTCAGTAACATTATGCTACATGATAAATTACAGTTCGTGTAATAACAAAGTGTTCATGAATGAGTTCAGAAAGAATAGAATGAAGAACAGAAATAATACATGTTCGCCATAAGATACAAACTGTATCTTGCAATTTTCATAGAACTGTATATTACACCTACAACTATTACTAAAATTTCATACTTATAATTTCATAATTATTACGTTTTAATTTATTTCAGTTTTAACGTATTATCATAAAATTACTCTCGAGACGCATATTTACGTATATTTATATAAAAGAACAAAACACTTAAAAAGTTCAAGCATACATAATTAGCTAAGTTTTAAGTGTTATCTTTGTAAGTAATCAGAAACACGAAATAGCTTTCGTTAAATCTTCAATAATCACTTGCCACTTACACGATACTAGAAATTTAAATGACGTCCTGCACTCCTGATACGAAGATTTCGCTTACCGTCAACAATAATATTCTTTTCCTTCGCTTCTTGCTTATTTTATATTCTGAGCAAAAAACATGCGACGAAATTTTAACAAAAACAAAGGAAATAATAAAAAAAAGGCGGAAAAAATTGGAAACCGCAACCTTATCTGTCTACTAGCGTCGCAATTTTGCTATACGCGGTTTGGTTGACAACTTTCCTGATAATGTTTTCAAGATCTACAAATATGGATACCCTGATACAACTTTACGAGTAAACTATTCAAACAATAGAAGTAAAATATTTATTGTAGTATTTTTTATAACATTACCATGTAAATAATCATAACATTAGTCTTATAATCTATATTAATACTTGATATTGAATTTAATTATACCTAATATTGAGCAATTAATTATAAAGATTCTATATTACAACGGTATATCTCTGCATATGATTTTCAGTCGATGTCGCATCAATTAAAGAGTTACCGTATAAAAAGTTATCTCTCCTTTTCTCTGACATTATTCATTTGCCCAAACTATTTCTTATATATATACGTTATGTGTTATTTTATATATATATAAACATTATATATTTTATATACACACGCGCGCACGCACACACGAACACACACAACACACACATATATATATTAGATCGCACAAAATACATAAAATTTATTTTAAATAACTTCAGCTATATAACGATAGCTATATCTGTCGCAAAGTGCTTTTATTCACATTCAAATGAAATATGTAAATATTAATGTGCATGAACAACATTAAAACAATCGATTATTAGTTTTACTTTCGTTGGATATAAATTCAACAAATTTCACGCTGTCGTTTTGTTAAAATGATTTTTAGCATAGAAGAGACAAATAAGTAATTTAATAAATGCGCGTATCATTATGCTGTTCATGACCAGCAGCTTGTTGCGCGTGGTACGGAAGTCGAAATCAGTAAGTAAATAGCACGAACGTAGAAATTGGCCGAGTTGCATAGTCGTGTTAAAAGTTTTCGATATCTTCCTTTACACCGATTCGTTACTTCGTTAACAAATTTCTTAATGTTACCCCCAAATTCAAATCGACTCCAACATATGTTTTTAGTTCAACTTCTTCGGCAAATTTCTACATCTGATGATAGTTTACTCAAACGTTTCAGATTTTACTTTCGAATTGAGAAACCAGCACGAATCTGAACACTTATCACCGCCAAAATAGCCACTTACGTCGCATCTGCAAAACAAACAGTAATGCTGATGATGTTTAATCGTGAACAACCAAGTCATTCGTTGCATTTTGTGATATACTCTTAATTTTGAAGATGAATCTATCTAACGCACTCCCATTTCAGAAACCTTTTTCAACATGGTATCATGTTGATTGTAAATCGCCAGCTTAAACTTGCAGTGTGAGAAAATGACACTATAAATAAGTGAAAATAAGTCAATCGTAATTCGTTAGTGACGCCTTTTTTCTTTGCTTTCATTTCATAATTCCCTCATATCCACGATTGTTCGACTTGCTCTCTCGCAATAACCATCGTATAATTTGTAATCGATCTATGAAAATCACAAATGTTTAATATCAAATTTTAATGCTCAAACACACCCGCTTGATTATAGGAATACGTGTGTAGATATCTAATATCCTTGATTATTAATATTATTATGGTCACCGTTATATTTACAAATTATCGTCACATCTCGAATCATTTTCATATTACGAATTCAGTTTCTTTAAATTAGCTGAAAAGAAAGAAAAAAAGATAGCCTTGCATATTTAAGAGATCTTCCACGAAGTCGATCTAAAATGAACAAATACACCGAGGTGCAAAATCGATCAAACACGTACAATAAGGTGTAGAAGTAAAAAATGCTTTGTTGCGAAATCATAAACGAAAATTTTTTTGTATACCGCTTATACAAACAGCTTTATGTTACACAATAAGTGTTCGACTTGTTAATTCTTTGGAATGAAAATATTTTCAATCGAAATCAAAATAAATATAAATATATCATAAACATTGGTTTAAAATTTCCAATTGACATGTTTCGTTTACAACATAATATAAAATGTTAATGTAGCAATATCCTCTGTTTGAACGACTGTTTTGCTAAACATTATTTCTTAACGCCATCGACAATATAACAAATCAACGATAATCTCATTTCTCAATACTTCTTTCTTTTACTTATTCTCAGTCTATTGATTTTATGTATATGTATATATATGTATGTATATATATGTATGTATATATATATATATATATGATGTGTATGTATGTATGTATCTATGTATGTATATACACATATGTACATACATATATTATAAGTACACCGGTATACGATTCAATATTAAACATATTGGTGAAAACGAAATTCTTGTAATGAATACAAATTGAAAATAATTATAATAGTTTTGTATACTTAAACAATGTACGTACAATCATTAAGAACGATTGAAAATGTATTCGGCGAAACAAGAGATAAAAAGAAAGAACAATGCGAACGTTGACTTCGTACAAATCGACATAATTACTTCGATTCGTCGATAAGTTTCCACTTTACATTATTCCATGTTTTAATCATGGTAATATAAATATTTTCAATCAAATATACAACACACGATTAACTCGCTAAAACGGTTTCATTCTTTCGTCCCTCCGTATATTCATCCTTTTCAGTTATTCGCACGTACAATGCTCACGCGTGCTTAATAGGTAAAAAATTACTGGTTTCACTAAACCTATGTAAAATTTCATCAAAATTTAAACACTTGAACTCCTATAATCACTGCCCTCTATCTCGCCTACTATCGATCTTCGTTCATGTACAAGTAAACCGAATCCACTTCGTATTTTCTTACAATTGATCTCGTTTAAGTAGAGCTAGATGTATCGTTTCGCTATGAATAGATGAACGTAAAATATCAAACAGAATAAGATCGAATAGGCACGATTAACGAGTATTTTCTTCTTTCTTGATTTTTTTTTTTTTTTCTTCTTTTTTCCAACAATTGTAGTACTCGACACATATTCGACGAAGGGCAGTATTAAGATCATTTTTGTCGTATCATGCCTCATACGTTTCTTTTATATTCCCAAAATATTAACATTTCAAGAATACATGTATGTACATATGCTTTGGCAAACGTCCTCTTTCCTTTTTTATTAAACCGACTACTACGCTTTTCATATCTCGCATTAATTTGCCTCGAACGTATCGTCTGCGACCGATACCGAAGAAAGAACTCAAGTGAAAATTAATCAATGTCAGCACGGTCAAATTTCACTCAAGTTTACCGTAACGCCGCAAAATCATTTTATCCATATGTCATATACATGCATTCGGCAGAAAAGGATCTTCCGACGAAACGGACATAACCAACGTCTCACGCAGAAAAAAAAACTGGGCAAATGAATTACTCTCAAAGATTTATCGCAAACGTTATTCTCGTACGATAAAGTAGAATATTCAAAATATATCAAACAATTCATTCTGATTTTCTATATACAAAGTTGCTTATTCGATAATCATATAAGCACGCTACTAGATAGACTAACGTGAATGAACAAAAAATACAAAAGTTAATGTACTGTACAATTAAAAGAAATGGAAAAAAAATTAAAAAAAATAAAGGAGAAACGAAAAAGAATATTTTATACAAATATACTTCTTTACATCTAGGACGAGTGGTAGCCACACATACTCGTCTTCAACGCGCATCAGATTCTCTACAATATCCTCAAACTATATAGACGCGCAGTAAGCAATCGTACATTGTATATATGTATGTATATTTGGCGTGAACCTTTGATTCGTAGTGTTGAACGTTTATTTACTAAAAATATATCCATATTTTGATAAAAAACAATCTATCGATGGAGTTTTAGCGTTTTTTCTCTCTTTTTTTTCTTTTTTTGTGTTTTTTTTCCTGTTTTTCTTTTTTTTACAAACGATACAACTCGTTGAACAGTCTAATATTGAAGACAAGGCGACTACACGTAAATTCAGGTACGACGCCGTTTCAATCCAATTCTATTTTTGAACGAAGTACCTGAATTACATGCATCCGTTTAAAACACGGGCACAAATTACGATCTACGTTTATATTTATTTCAACACCGAAATGGAATTCTCGCATATGCCTGTGTCACCAGACGCGATAGGACGACAAGTGTGTGTATGTGCAATGTATATATGTGTATATGTGTGTATACATTTATGTATACACATGCATATATAGGTATATATGCACACTCGCACAATCGAAAATATACTTTTTCCACGTGTGCATTACGTACGCGTAAAATCGTTGGACAATTTTATGAATACATCAGAATCTGCTATGTATATTCTCGACAGGATAATGAAATGTTCTCAAACTGACGATGATTCAACTTCTATTCGAATATACATACATTCGTGCGTATACGAAATGCAGAAAAGAAAATGATTTATTGTACGATCATGTACACAACAAACTATGAGAAATCGTTTGCTGTTTGAAATTTTCTGAAGAAACAATCATCGGGTGGATTGCATGGACTATATCAAAGAGTATATTTTCGACAAGATCATCATAAGAAATTCGTTTCATCTGTATATGACAATACATATAAAATATATCGTAGGAGAAAAACAATGACTTTCTGCTGTTCTTATTTTCCTTTTTGCTGCTAGAAATTAACAAAATTTTGATATGTCATTTCAATATTCGGCAATATCGAATAGTCATGCGTATGATTGCAAAGTAATGCTCACAAATCACAATTTTTCATCGATCAACCGTTATTAGAATCCGACCAAATTGAAGAAAATAATTCTCTATTCCATATATAAGCGATTGCCGAATCGCCACTTTGTGCGCCTTGCATCACCTATCGTGTCTTATGTCATAGATCTTGTTATAATAAAACTTAGTTTTAATTATCGGTGCTAGCCTCAAAACTCAAACGATCAAATAGTCGTATAAAGAGCTAGTGATTTAACTTTCAAATTATCTCTCAACATTTTCAGCGCTATTATTTAATTCATTTGTCATTCTTACGAAGAAAGAGAATCACTTGGTTCCTATGACAGATTAATTAGACGTTAACCCTCGCTCACCGAAGAAAGCGAACTACGCGTCGAACCAGTCGTATGATGTGTCAAGTCGGTAAGATCTGCTGGTAAGCACAATGGTACAGCGCTTGGTCCATAAATCGCCTCTTGTTCTTCCAACTGTAACGCAAACTGTTCTTCCAATTTCTGTAACGGAAAATATCAACGTTCAAATAAACGAGTAACGTACACTGCGTTAATTAACGACGAATAAACGCTGTTCCCTACGAAAGACTTTAAAAAAATTAAATCGCTTAAAGAAATAGAGAGAAATATATGGATTTCATGAAACGAGCTAATTCTTTATCGCTACTCTTTTAATTGCTATATTTATGCTTTATTTACACTATATTCGCATCAGCAGACATTTTTTGGACTGACCTTGTTTATTACCTAGTAGATCGTTCTGATATCCAGTCGTGGAATCTCTTTCCCGACATGTTGTCTGTTGGATTCTTAATGAAAGAGGTACATAACGAAAGTGGGAATAACATAATCTAACATACACATTGGAAACACTGATATGAGAACCCCTGATGTATATGTATAAGCATTTACCGCACATTTTACTACATCCGATAAGTATACAACATATAGCCCACAATTATTCACCGATTCACCCTGTTATGTTTTTACTTAACGATGATTGAAAAGCTGCTATCGAAACACGACACTTATATATATTATCGATAATACAACGAACAACAAATGCTCAATTATGCATAAGGTCTACACAAAGTACCATATATTTCGCTAAGATTACTTACACGTACTAATTAATATTCTGTAAACAATAATAATTGTCAGATATTATTGTCCCTATGGTACTTTATGTCTATTTATGAGTCCGTGCATATATATGAACAATACGATGGACAATAACACTACGGTAATTTAATAATGGAATTTTAACGATAAATTAAGTAATGCCAGCAACACATTTTTAATATTTAAATGCTTATAAAACTATACACTTTACCTAATAGCTAACAATAACAAGCTCATATCGTTTTATGAGTATATACTTGATTTTTACATTTCCCAAGAGTTGCAACAAACTCGTGTTATAAATTAATTACTTCCCTGCGATACATTATTGTTTATTCGAATGTTATTTCATGAAAGCCCAAACAACATATATTTTCCTTGAACTTGGTTACGCAAAGGTATATAAAATGTATGCACTGTGAAGGATGCATACATATACACGTGCGCGCTCACGCACGCACACAGGTCGTACATACATCATACATACATACATACATACATACATACATACATACATACATACATACATACATACATACATACATACATGCATACATACATATAAACATACGTATATATATACACACATACATATATACGCGCGTGTACGCACGTACATATGTAGTAATGGATGTATACATTTAAAGAGACGATAAATATTACTAGATAATCGAAGCAACGATGAGTAAAGCGGGCATGTTACCCTTAAATGCACAAAGCATAACTCAATAAGAGAAACTTCGAAATAAAAAGGAGATTGTAAGAAAATAACTGTAAAGATGTTGATTGAAAACCGAAATTACTTTTCTGAAATGAATACTCCATTAAAAGAAACGCGAAGCAAAAACAAATTTATTTCGATACTTCTCTCGATGAACAACAAAAATGTTTAAAAGAAGACACAACAGGATTTTCGGAATACTATCTACGAGACGAAGGAGATGGTAATAGGTCAGGTTTGGATTGACTTCGCGAAAGCATGCCATTTACGGAACCGGTGTCCGAACCACCAACTCTTAGTGTCACTCTTGGAATCCACAAACGCGGAGATTTCTTCCAATTTTCAGAATTAAAGAGAAAACAATCTAAAGGGGGAGAAGAGAGACCACTAAAACTTGAGGGCAAATAGTCTCGGTAACGAGTTTCCAATGCTTCCATTTCAGCCGTCAGCTCAGCTTCTAACTTCTAGAATAAGTACATTAAGCTTATTTCAGTATAGCTACATCTGTTGTCTTTAAATCTAATTAAAAATCGCGATTGATTCGTATCCCTTCCTGCGTTGATCGTCACTCATCGTGTGAGCCACAGGAAATGGAAACCTATGACTTTGCTATACGCATACTCATTCATGGAAAAGAAGATACTAGTACGAAAAAAAAAAAGAAATAAAGGAAAAAAAATAAATAAAGAAAAAAGAAGAAAAAAAGAAGAAAAAATGTAAAATATTAAAAAAGTAAATAAATATTAAAAGAAAGGAAAGAAAACTTTCGCGAAAAATATAAATTGCAAAATATGAAGAAAAAATAATATCGATTTACCTGTTTTCGTGGCTGAAGTTGCGCTTTCCATTCACGAAGCTCTTTACTGTACGCTTCTTCTAATTCCTTCAGTTTCAATGTTTCATGCTCCATCAACATTTTTCTTTTTTCGTTCTGCAATTGTTCCAATTCTTTGATAGTGGCATCACTTTGTGCTCTTACCTCTTCCAATTGCCGTGAATGCTTTAATTCGAATCTCTGTTGTTCGGCCCTATATCGCTTTTTCTCATTCTCTTGGAATTTTTTCAATTTTTCCCTCTCAGCATCAGGATCCGGTGTGATAACCGAAGACATAGAAATCCTCATAGATTCTCTAAACATCATTTCGCGTGCCTTCATCTCGTTACGAATTCTTTTTGGTAAATTCCTACGTTCCACTGTCTGTCGTTTAATCAGTTCCTCTTCCTTTCGCTGATTCATTCTCTTCAATTGTTCCAATTCCTTTTCATGACGTATTAGCATCTGGTGTCTTTGTAAAAAGAAAATATCCTTTAACTGCTTCTTTAATAGTTGTTGCTTTTCATGGATATGCCGTTCTTCTCGATTCCAAATGTCTGCTACTTGAGTTCTCATTCGTTGTTGTTTCTGCTGTAAATATTGCCTTTCCATTAGGGCAATTCTTTGACGATGACTATCGGACAATCTTCTTAACGATAATTCGTGACTTTCATTAAGTTTATCTAAAAAGTGTTTTTCCCTTTCTTCGTGTTCAGCCTCCAATTTCTCTTTGCGTATTTTAAATGCACTCTTCCTCTTATCTTTCGGCATTAAATCTACCTCTTGTTTAAGTAGTTTCAATTCCTGCTTCAATCCTTCACGAAATAGTTTCAGTTCTCTTTCTTGCTCACTACGAATCTTTTTCGAAGTGAGTCTAAGCTCGGCCTCCAACTGCGCTTCCGCCCGTTCGATCTGCTGTCTCTGTTGCCGAGCATACGTTTCCAAATCAGTTTCAATGATTCTTTCTAAGACTTGTCTCTCCTGTTCAAAACGCTTTTCTTGTTGATCCTTGTTAAACTGAGCCTTCTGTGATAAATCTTGAAACTGTTTTTGCTCCATTTTCTGTAGCATCTTTAATTCCCTTAGTTCTTGCTTTCTAAAGATTTGATCATCGTAAACTTTGCCGTTTTCATCATCGCCATAAATTACCTTTGATGTTGTCGTGGTAACTACGACACCATCGATCTCAAATTTTCTAGTTCGCTTTCTCGTCTTTTTCTTCAAATTCATCATTTGAATATCCTCTTTCGTTTTTGTTGGTCGTGGAATGTCACGATTATAATCAGGTTTTCGTCGCAATACTACTTCCTCATCCACTTCCGTGGATTGTCCTTGACTTACATGATTCTCCTTGCTGGATTCTCTGCTATCCTGACTTATAGTGGTAGAAATGGATTCAGCATCGGAACGATCCATACTCTTGCTCGGAGTATGTGATCGCGTCGATCCGGATTCACTTTGAGACCTAGAACCTTCAAAACTATCCGGAGATACTCTCTTCTCTTTGTATCCTTTATTTGCTTCCTTCTGTTTAAGTGTTTTTAACACTTTATCATCGATATGGCCAACTATTCCAGATTTGTCGTTTTTTAATAGACCATTCATCTTTTTTGAGCTTCTTTCCACATCATCTATAGATTCTACAATCGTCCCAGCAATTAACATTTTAGTAATTTCATCCCCGCTATCGCTTTTTGTACTCGACCTTTCAATTAAACTAGCATCACTGTGAGAGGAAGAAGTTCGTACGGCCTCGTGTTTACTAAGTACCGAGGAATCTTTCACTTGCTCCTTATCATCGCCGACAGTAACAACGGAAACATGACTAGTATCCTGCAATTCATCTACGATCGGACTCACAATGAGAACCTCGGATTCGTCTAACTTCTTGCCAATTCTTTTAGAAAAGTCGGTAAGAATTATGGGTTGCTCTTGTGGTGTGTACTCTAAACTATCTAAACTAGGAAATCCATCATCGTCAGTTGAACTTTCATTCACTTGTGTTTTGTTCAATTCATTTGCAACAATAACAACTTCCGATGTTGGAGCTTGGCGGCAAGAAAGAGGCGCTGTCAATGACACAGCATCAACAAGAACCGGTGGATGCGTCGTTACCACGGTTACTTGACTAACATTGCTCGCAAGACTATTCGATAAATCTGGACTATCTGCTGTAATCCGGACGGTTGATGTGTTTGGACGTATTTCTTGGTCGGATTTACCTGCAGATTCAATGCGTATATCTTTAATCCAACAAATACTAAAAATTCAGTTTATTAATCTTATAAAAAAAAAGCATATTATCGTAAATAATAAACTTGTATATACGTAATATAAAAAATTTTACCAGTAATAACGACTACATTGTCACCGCTGCCTCTTCTAGAAGTACTTCTACTTCTAATGGGAGTTGAAGTGATTACTGATACATTCACCGAAGAACCTTTCTTCTCGGAATTCACACTATCACCGTTATTCGAGGTACTCTCGTAATTGTATTCTTTACTTGGCCATTTCTTTTCTCTTTTTCCATCAAATTCGTCCGAAAAATTCTCTAAAGAAACATATCTGGAAGATCCTTCGCTATGACTTTTAATGACAGATTCTGTTTTAGAAGATCCGTAATCAGTTTTAACATCTTCAGTAGAGCAAGCTTTAACAATATTCTTTTCCGATGCGCTTCCAGTTAGAACTTCTCGGTGTGATAATGCCTCCATAGAAGAAACACTCATTCGCATTTCAGTATCCATTGAAAAACGTTTCTCTAAAACCGCATTTAACTTTTGTTCCACAGATTTTCGTTTCTCTTGTAAGCTCTTGTAATTTTCTTCTAGCGAAGATTGTCTCTTACCGTCAATTTGTGTTTTCTTTTCAATTCTGAAATTAAGTGCCCTTTATATAAATAATATTATATTATAGTATATATTACGGATACAGAGAAATAAATATTTCAACCACAAATTAGCATAATTAAAAGTAACCACCTGCTTTTTTCTTCTAAAGATGATTGTTTGTTAAATACTGGTTTAGTCCAGTCTTCGCCTAATTCTAATTTAACTGGTGCCGATTTCCTCTTCTCCTCTAATGTTAATTGTGTTCTCGATGATAAATTTACTTTATCATCTACCGATCTTTGTCTGATATTACTTTTATTCGTATCATCTACTTTATTCTTCTCCCTTTCATTGCTTTCTAATATAATTTTTTCTAAACTAGTTGGTATGCATGGCTTCTCACAAAGCATGTCTACATTTGTTTGTTCCCTGCCTACCATTTCCTGGCCTGATTGCATTGATTCATTTTTAAGTTGCTGCTGTTTATCAATAATCTTGCACTCGTTTAACAACTCTACATCATTTTGTTTATCGATAATCTTCAAAATGCTTTCCTTATCTTCAATTTTGCTATTTTGGCGCATAAGCGGTGGAGGAGGTGCAGGACCTTTTTCTCGTGATACTCTACGTTCATTCGTTTCGTTTGTACTAGGAGGTTTGGGGGCCTAAAAATTAAATTCCAATATTATTGCTATTCATATAAAAATATAAACCGTTTATTAACGAAAAAAAAATACCTGTTTCTTCTCAACAGAAATAGGTATGTTATCTTTTGATTCTGCTTTACGTAATTTCTTATTTCTGTCTTCCTTTTCACCATCTCTGTTAATCTCTCTTTTATGGCTTTCTTCTTTTTTCGTAGACACAGGTGATGCAACAAGATTTTCCTTTTCAGAAACTAAAAAAAAAAAAGAAAAAAAAAATAATAATAATAATACAAGTATGCAAACAGTTTATAATAATCGTCATTTGTATTTAATTTATATACCATGAATTGTACTTACTCTGAACATCAGCGTCACTGCGCATAGATGCAGAATCATCTCCGAGTTGATCCAGTTCCAGAGGAAGCTGCGACGTGCGTTGCTCCTAAAATTTTTATTCCTATCTTACTTAGATATAATTATATAATTTATATATGCTACAATTCACAATTAATATTCAAACTGAGAAAAAATGTAACTTCTAAATATTATAAAATATACGAAATGTAAAAATATCATAAACATAAGGAAACTATTATTTTATGTGAGTATGAAGTAAAAGATTAAAGTTAAAAATAAATAACTGAAATATTTTTACAAATATGATATTATGTAATTATAATAAACATTGTAATTTAATATAACATATATTGAAAATAGCTTATGCATAGCAGTTGTAAAAAGAAGAAAAATAGCAATGAACTGTAATAATATGTACAAAAAATATATCAAAATCAGATTAGGCAACACTTATTGCATAAGCTACTGACCTGACAAACGCAGGGATGATGGGGCTGGCGAGGCCCAGGAGAGCCGCATGCACAGCCAAATTACCCAAATTACATATTAAAAAATAAAAAAAAAAAAAAAAAAAAAAAAAATTCAGCTGAATCTTTGAAATTATACTCTCAAACAATAACGTGTAACAAACTATAAATATAATACTAATTCAAATTTTCATATATTTTAAATGAAAATACTATTACTTTATTAATTTTGCAAATTATAAGAAAGAAGCATACTTTAACAATGCATACCGCATGCATGAATCTTCAGATTTTATGCATGTTCCCCATGCATAAATATAACAAAGTGTAATTGTATATTTTATGAAAATGAGATAAAATTTATCGGAATTTACATGACTACATACAAAAATACTTCATCACAGATATGCCTGAATACAAGAGAATATTTTTCATTTTCTTAGTTATTTAAAAACGGCTAATAAATTTGTACAATTTGATTTATACGGTTTGCTCAAAAGCAGCTTACCAATCCGTTGATACTGTTCTCTGTGTTTTTTCGCCTTTTTGGCCTTCTATCAAAACGGAAGCGTGTAACAACGGTATATACAGTTAATTCTGTTTATAAAGCTTTGTATATTATTACAAATTGAAAAATAACTAAGTGTTACCACAACAATATGCTTCTCATAAAGCATTTTAATACTTTCACATGAAAGGAGTAAAATTATTTGAATAAAAGATGTTCAATCTTGTTCAATAATAAAAAAAAAACATGAAAATAATGTACGATAAAAAACCAAAAACTACCTCTGTTTCCTCATCGACTAATTCTTCCTCAACAACGTCAGCTTTATATTCCAATAACAAATCCCTAATCGGTTTTGAATCCAGATTACGATTTATGAATGGATGTTTCAACAATTCATCAGCTGTAGGTCTCGATGTTGGATCTTTTATCAGAGCTTTTGCAATGAAATCATTAAAATCTTTACTCCATTTTCCAGGCTGATCAAGTTTTGGTGGGTCGCTCTTTTGTATTTTAAGAAGAACACGCATCGGGGACATCTCATGGTTTGGCGGTTCCATTTGCGCAAATTCTATTAATGTAATACCAAGCGACCAAATGTCCACCTAAATATAAAAAGATATGTATCAATATAACAAGCATTACTTATGAAATGTAAACATAATATAGATATCTAGCATAAAAAATTCATAGTTTAAGAACTGTGTTACCCACTTTAAAATCATAAGGATTATCTCTAAATGTCTCACATAACACTACTTCTGGAGCCATCCAATATGGTGTTCCAATAAATGTGTCATGTTTCTGTAAAGTATGCTTATTTTTTGCAGACACTCCAAAGTCAGCTATAAATATGGAAATTTATTAATTTCACTTTATACATAAAATACAATATAATAATGAATTTGAAAATCTAAATATAAGGTTTACCTAATTTCACTCCCCCTGCCATTGTTAATAAAACATTTCCTGCCTTTAAATCCCTGTGGATAACCTTAGATTTATGTAAAAATGCAAGACCTTTGGCCATATGTTGACATATATATGCTATTTGTGGTTCTGTTAAAGCTTTTGCTAACTCAACCATTATGGAATCAACAGCACCACCATCACAATATTCTATCAACATCTAAAGATTTATTAATCAAATTATACCAATATTAATTGTAAATTATATAGATATGAAATTCATAAGTATTAAATAACTATAGATCATACCCATAGTTTGCCCTCAATAAAATATGCTTCATGTAATTCAACAACATTTGGATGTTTACATTCTGATAAAATATCTATTTCAATCATAAAATCACTGAGGTCATCCTCTCCTTCCAATGCACACATTTTTGCAGCAGCAAGCTGATGAGTTTGCCTATGCTGTGCCTAAAAATGTTCAATACTTCTTGTATCAAATTAAATAATTACAACTAAAAGAATTAAATCTTAAAATTATATGAACAGTTACCTTATAAACTTTCCCAAATGCTCCATCTCCTAATTCACCTATCATTTCCCAGAATTCTTCTGGGTTGCAATCCATTTTGATATTATTGTACAATTTCTTCTTTTTTGCATCATTTCCACCAAAGTGGAATGCTTTCTTTAAATTTGATAAGAATGACATTTTTGTAATTCTTATTAAATATATTTGAATGTATAAAAGGTATAATAATATTACATTATGTCATAAAGCTCAATAATGTTTACCATTAGCAACAAATATATATCTTACACTGCATTTAAATATAAATCTTATGCAGTTCTTAAATAATTCATTGCTATATGAAAATGTTATGAGACGCATAAAGTCATCTTTGTCTTATGTATATTTTTGCATACTTTCCCTTATTTTATCATATTTTCTATTAGAACAGAAAATGTTTTAAAAGATATATTTTGTTTATATCCCAGTTTCATACCAGGAAACTATATTAAATTTCTCCCACATCTTGATGACATATAATAGACTTTCTTTAATTAACAAACATGTTTGAATAAATAATAATAAATGCAAAAAATGATGCCCATTATTAATAATATTTTACTTTTACTTTCAATATATGCGAAGCTGAAATAAAAAAGAAATTAATAAAAATTACAATAATATGAAACATAGTGTAATACATTTAAAAGCAATATTAGTAAGACAATATTTATTATCTTTTAAATTAGACTTATATAGATGCAAAAATAAAACAAACAAATTATTAATATAAAATGTATAAACAATATATAACATTATATTTCAGAAGGAAAAATACACTTAAATAAATAGATTTTAAAAATGTAGTTTGTATAATTACGAACAAAATAGTTAATATTAATAATAATAATAATTTAAAATTAATTATTTAATAAAATATATTAGATAAAATAGATAAAATACTAACGATAATACTGTTAGATATCAGAAAGATAAGTATAATAAAAATTACACTTCTTATACTTTAATGAACTTTATTATTTCACTAATAAATTATATTCAGCTACACATTGAGTACCTATTTATTTGTATATAAAAGATTTATGTACTTTCAAGGGATTTTATTCATTTTTTTAATAGAAAGTATGAGACCGATTGATTTACAAACGCAAAAAAAAAAAAATGAAAAAACTAAAAAATCTTCATAGAAAACAAAATTTGAGAATAAAAAATTGTTCAAAGTGTCAAAATTGATGATCACGAGGTTGACACAATTTTGACAAGTACTATACAGCCGTATCTATCCGCCATCGTTTTGTAAATACACTTTCTCCGTTTTATATATGTTTAAAGTCTATCGAAGTTATAGATTGTCAAAGTAGAATTAAACTATAATTGTAAAGGTATTTAAAATGAGAACTCTGATAAAGAACAATGCTACTACGTATTTCGAATATAGTGACAAAATTTTTCGTTAAGTCATCTATACTGTTTGTACCCTGGTAAAGCCAATGTACTTCTTTTAATCCAAGGTTTGATAAATCATAAAAAGTACCATTATACGAAGTAGAAACACAAATACATCATTAAGGTGATAATGAAATAAAGAATTTCTTTGATTTTTTTCTTCAAAAGCATGGTTTTTGAAAAAAAATTTATAGACACATCCTCTGCTCACCTTCTCTTTTAATGATCCACCGTTCACGAAATGGGCACACTTCGTCTCGATCTATATCATCAATAACCCACTAAAATCTTCAGGTTACACGTTTTCACTAATTTCATGTATCATTGAGAAATCCACTGTTCAAATCTAAATATTAGAAAGAATGTGAAAACTATCGTGAAATCAGTAAACTAGACGGATCCGCACGTACACGGCCATTTTCAGTAACACACGCACATCACACATTGTAGTGTACCACGCCTGGAAGTGACGTAATCAATCGGCAAGTGTGTCTGTATTCTGCAAGAGGTTCTCTAACTTACAAATTTATCTTATACACATTTTTTAAAAAACAACACTGCAGCGAAGTTTACAAAATATTCTTAACGATAGTCAACGTACAAATCGTTGATTGTCATTCAAAAGCTACAATTACACAATAGATATAAAATTTGTGATTTATTAGTGAGTAATAAAAGTTTATCTTTACATGGTCTAAAATTTATGTGTAAATGCCTGGCATTTCCTTATAATAATTAAATTGTTACAATGATTACATATACTGAATCATTCTGCACATATGGAAATTAAGCACTCCTTATATTAAATTATGAAGTTGATTTTACGACGTGTCATTGCAGTTACGGAAGCCTTCTAAATATGTAATCTTATTAAGAGTCGTTGTGAAATAAACTTATATTTTGCATTAGTACAAAACTTCGTGAAATTAATATTGGTCTAAACTATTATGTTATAATAATGTAATTTACTTGCAATGTAGCGAGGTTAATCTTTCCTACGAATGATAATTCTCAGATACGTCATTTTTAATAAAAAAAATACTTAATTATTTATAAAAATTAGTAGAGTATGAAAAACTCAGTGTATAAGAAAATTTAATACATACGAAAGAAACAAAAATCTTTCTTTTATTAACACATAACTTTTTGAAGTATTTAAATGGAATGTTATTTTAGCAATTTATTAACGTGACTCATACATTAATATTAAAATTCCTAATATCAAAATTTGAAATAAAATAAAAAAAAAATTGATAATTTCAAACATTATAATTGTCAAGAAATTAATATTTGATGTTTAAATAATTATTGGATTAGAAATAAATAACTTAAATACAAAATATAATTTTTCAGATTCAAGACTACCAATATAATATATAAAAAACACTATTGTTTGATATACTTGCTCTAAGTGTGTATGCATGCGCATATAAATTTGTCACAACTGTTATAACCTACTTTCATTATTGCAGTTAATATTATTTACTTATATATTTCAACGTACACAATCATAGGTATTTTACATTTATATTTAACTTTTTATACAAAATTGTTCACATATAAATAATTTTATAACATTAAAATCTTTTAGTATAAGAAATTAATAGTTATTACTTAACCAAAAATTAAATTTAAATTTTGTTTACAATTACTTAAATAAATATTGATTTGAACACTAATATTGATATTTTTATTTAATTATTTATAAATTGTTTTACTTTAATTATTCTAGTGCAAGGTTTAAATGTCTAGAGAAGGACGAGGTGTAATACGTATGATTTTAAAAAATTTTATCGCTTCATTCAAACTATACAAACATGAATTTATTGGTGAAGATTATAATGGTACAAAATATTATGAGATACAAAACAAAAACTCTTCACGAAGAAATCCATCTCGATATTTTCAACCTGTAAATAAAAATGATCATACGCAAGAAATACCTGTAGAATGGGAAGCATGGTTAAGACATCGTAGAAAGTATCCACCATCAGCTGAAGAAATACAAAAAAATTATGAATTGAAAATGTTGACAAAACAGAATGCAGCTCAAATAAAGGCAACATTTGAAGATAGTGAATCAAAAGAGTCAAAGTTACATATTGAAAAAGATGGATATAGATCATTTCCAATTTATGATGAATATAAAAATAATGATCAAGACCATAAAAAATAAAATATGGCAGTACAAAGTAGGAAAAACATAGTTTAATTATACATTTACGTTTAGAATATTAAAAATAAATAAAATATGTAGTAAATATGTACAAATTTTATTGTAACATATACTTGTATTATGACATATATAATTTGTGTGTATTGTTTGTATATAATCTATGAGTAAAACAACTTATTAATACTCTATATCTTTATGCATATACACTTATATCCTTCTATAAGTTGTCAATTAACCTTCATTTTAAACAAAAATAACTCTACCAATACTAAATTTAAATAAACCCGTTTTATATAGAAGTAATAATAATAATGATAATCATTCAACCTCAAATATTTCATTGAGCAAAACTATTTAACAGGTATTTTCAATTCATATATTAATAAAATAATTTAAAAAATATCATTCCATTAGATACTGCTAATAGTCCTGATGTGTCGTCTAATTTCAAATCTAGAGAAGTGTAGATATGCAAAAATTAAAACCTAAACTTCCTAATCAGAGGATGGACTATTATTCAATTTTTATAAGTAGTACTCCCAATGTTGACACACAGAACATCACTCAACAATAGGTATAAATTCTTTCATTCAAAAGAAACTGGCAGAATTCAGTAGGTAATAAGCATGTTATAATCAACCAGAAAAGTCACTATTATCAAATAAAGCTTGATCATATAGTTCTCCTTTAACTAATCGTCCACCGAAATAACGACCATTTAAAGAATCCCTTGCTCGCTCCGCCTCTGAAATAATCATTTAATATTAATATAAATTATATAATTGATAAAATGAAAAAACGTATTTTAAACTCACCACTCATTTGAGAAAATTCAACAAAAATTTTTACAATAACTTCTGCATCTTCATCATCTTCAGATTGTCGTTCATTATAAATAATAACTCTTTCTACAACTCCAAATTTAGAACATTCGTCTTGAATTTCTTCTTGTAAACTTTCATCTACATCTTCTGGAGCTACCATATTTCGTAAAATAACAACTCGGGATTCAACTTTACGCATAAGTTTCTGCATAACAAGATGACGAGCACTTTGTCCTTTAATCGACATATTTTCTTGTTGCTGCAATGTTTGTGGTTCTGTTTCCTCCAGCAATTTCTTCTGCAATTCTTCCTGTTGTTTCTGATGCGCTGCTTGCTCTTGCGCTCGTCTCATTATATCGGAATTTGTTGTTGTTGTAACTGGTATCTAGTGATGTTTTAAATAATTAAAGTATCTTAACTATAATGCGTAAAAATGAATAACAAATAAAAAACTTACAACTGGGGTTCCTACTATTGTAGGTGCTACAACAGCTGGAGGTGGTATAACAACTGGCTGCCCAGGTATAGGTTGAATTATTGCAGGGGGTCGAGTTAAAGTTTGTGGTATAGCTATACCAGGTGGAGGTATAACTGGTGTTACTGTTGCTATAGTCGGTGGTGCCATCATTGTAGCAGGGGCAATCGTAGGTCTTACTATACCAGGTAAAGCTGTGTACATAAGATTCATATATTATTCACAAAAACCTCAAAGAAAACTTAATATGAAATTTCTATTACTCTTTAAACGCATACCCTGATTTAAAATTGGTGGAGCAGCTGCTCCAAGTTTGGTCAAACCAAGCGCAACTGCATTACTAGCTACCGCATCCATTGCTTGAATCTTTGCAGTTGCAGCTGCCGCTGCAACGGCTGCAGCAGTAGGCATCATGCTAGTTCCACTTGGTGGACCCATAAGAGCATTTGGTGGAGTAATAGCTCTGCCTACTCGTAAATACTGTCCACCCAAGTCAAATAAATTCATTGAAGCGATAGCCTCCAAAGCAGCTTGCATTGTTTCGTATTCGATGAAACCGTAACCTTTATGTCGATGGGGCGAGCTTCCTTGTGCCAATTTACAATATGTAATAGGTCCAAATGCTTCAAATACGGATTTAATATCATCCTCAGTTAAATCTTGATGAATCGATGCGATGTAAATTCGATTATAATGTTTACTCTCTTCAGTAATTTCATCTATAACGGATTGAGCCTGGGGCATATTCGACGGACGCCCCACAACCTGAAGGAAACACCCAAATTTATGACTAATACTTTCAACTATTTAAAAAAAAAAAAAAAAATATTTGTAACGAATCTGTCAAATATTAATATTTTAATTATAAAGCGAAAATATATATAAAAATAGGATTAGGTCAAGGAATTATATTCTTTATTTTAGTATAATTTTTTAATATTTCACTAATCAAAAAGTATCAATATTCATATGAATATATTTTTCCTATATTTAACTGGAATAATAATAATAGAATTCATTGTTATGTTCTTTAAAATATCAAGAAGTGATATCATTAGAAAAAATGTATAGTAAAAATCTAAGAAAGACATTAAGAGTTTATAACAAGATTTTTTTTTGACCGAAGTGCATTTTATATGTGTAATGCAATTCAATCAAAGGAATTTCATATTGGATAAGACTAAATAAAAATTTGCCGACCTCCGGCGGGATGATAGGATTGCTGGGGGACAGGAAATTCGTTATATAGGTACGTCCTGCTACCTTGATGTTACGTCCACCAATCATGACACCATTCATTTGTTCCAAAGCAAGTTGTGCTGCTTCAGGTATCTCGTATTCGACGAATGCAAATCCTTTGTGCTTCTGCGTAACTGGATCCCAAGACATGTTGATTGATTTTATAGGACCAAAAGGCAAGAAAGCTTGCCTAATCGTATCCTCTTTTAATTCAAAACTGATGCTGCCCACATATACCCTGTCATACAGGAATTTTATTTCAGGTGATCGCCCCTTGTTATATTAAACCAAAACTTGTCTGTTCAGTTGTACCTACTTTTACAATGTACTCACTACTGTATCCTACCAGAATTGAATAAAAATGGACAAAAAAAAATGTTGTTTCCTAATTTTTTTCCATAATGATATATAATAAAAGGAAGAGTTATATCAAAATTTTTTTCAACTATGCATATTAATTAAAGCCAAGGAATTCGGTAATATTCGGTAATAAAATTACAGAAAAATTAGATATTTTAATTTGCCAATACGTGAAAGAATTCTAAAAGAAATTTAAATTCAATACTTTTCTCGATAATGAAGAGAAACTACAGTATTCTAGATAATTTAAATTTGTTAAAACCCAATCTAAGTAACGAATACAAATTTTTGGCCTATACAGAATAAAGATTGAAAATTTTCTTCTATTTAAAACGGCGAGTATTCAGGACGAAATTCGGAGGGCTAAGACAAAGAACAAACAAACCTGCACATGAGGGCGAGAGCCTGCTGTCTCTGCACCTGATTCCGTTGACTAGCCATTTGCTGTAACACAAAGGACCATAGGCCTTCTATTGATATCCCTCCCCCTTACATACACCATGTCTCATTCATCTCAAAAATCCCCCAAGCTCTTTTACCATTCCATCTTCGTTGCCCAACTACTCTAATCTTAATATTACAAAGTTTAAAATTTTGTTTGACATTTATTTAACATAAATTTCTTGAAATGTTTCGATCTTTAAATAAATCATATCTGAATTTGAAGATAGTTAATAAAACTTATATAGATATTAAAAATTATCCTGTATGAACTAGTATCTTAACATATTTCATAGTAATAGATAATTGAAAACAAACAAGTCGTATTTTTATACTGACATTATATGTAGAACATGGTGTTAAAAATGTTAATTCTCCTTTTAACCAAGCTTTGGATACTACATCCAAAATTCCACATTAAAACAGTATTTAGGTCATTAGTAATTACACTCTCATAATAAGGAATCATCATAAATAATATTTTTTATATTATAAAATAACATAAACAAAATGAAACCAGAAAAATTCCAATTTTTAACATCATATTCAAAATAAAAACCAGTATAATATGAAAATATTATTGAAAAACTCCTCTGCAACAAAAAAAAATAGAATAGTTGAGCTCAGAAGTATATATAGATTATTTTTCTCAAATCGTCCAAAGATTCATGCACAAAAACTTGTCCTCCTTCGCGCTGGTACAGCTCTGCTCCCGCCGACTACTATCTTAAGATATCTAACCTTCGCTTACAGTAGTAACTCAGGGAAACGTTTAGGAGTGTTTGATCGTAAGGCGGTTTCGTATCGTTTCTGTCTTGACTTGGTTGACACTAACCTGCACATTAGCAATAAAACTTGCTGCCGCAGGACCAACTTATTCTTCTGCGGGGAGAAAAAATCAACCGATCAGAGTTAGGTTCCAGTGTTCGTTTTTAATTTCTGTTATATGTTTTGACTTTACTCGCTCGTCATAACGAACACAGGTTAATATACTTAAAATAAAATTGAATATTACTCGGCGGGGCGAGCTAAATTGCAAGGACAAACATTAGTTTAAAATATTATAAACACATTTTTCTCAATTTTTGTTATAGTACTGGCAAAGAGCTAAATAGAGGAAGAAATGTAAATTCATCTTTTAACAAATAATATTTTTTGAGACAAAAAAGAACCCCCTAATTTTAATGTATCACTTTATAATTATACATTAACTCCATTGTGCATTCGTATAATTCGTATAAATAATCAACATTCGATTAAATAAGTCAAACTACATGAAAATTGGTTATTTCTTAATTTTTATGTGACCTGCGTGCATCTCTTGCCCACAAACATAGCATAAAAAAAATTTAACCATTTGAATGCCATGGACGACTGTAGAAATCTGGCTGAAAAGTGTCAAGCAACACTATTAAATTATTTTTTCAGTAGGATTGTAGCTTAGTGGCTTTGCCCTAAATGTATTTATTTTTTCTGATCCCCCCCCCCTCTCCCTACAAAAAAAAAAGAAAAAAATGCTGTATTCTAGTATTGATAAAAATTATTGATCGAGGAGGCTTAAAAATGTATATTTGCTTTTTTTGCAAAAAACAAAATTTGGAAAACCGCACGGTAAGTGGACCAAAGTCACTAATTTTTAATTATATTATAAAGGGTGAAATTCTGAACAAGTTTTATTTGAACAATAATTATTGCCGTTTGACTTTAGTTTTCGAGATATTTGCAGAAATTGTTGATATTACTACATTGAACTCTGCCTGTATGTGTGTGCGAACGCGTGTGGCTGTAGAGATCGCAGCTTGTATAATATTTCTATGACCACACGATGGTGAGCATATACAATGGATGGCTGGAAAAAAAAAGTGTTATAGGACTTGTATGACCGACCACCTCACGACGACCGGTATACTAATCTAGCGCGTCCTAATTTAATTAATTGATAAAATTGAATGAAGCGCACTCACATTTGGCGACAGTTTCTATAGGGCTCACTACCTAAAAATCTACCCATCTTTTTTTCAAGTACACTTGAATACTTGTAACCCGTTTCGAAAAATATAATCAAACCTAACTCAAATCTATTATTTAAGATTAGGCAATACAACGTACGAAAAAAACACGAGTAAACCTTAGGTAGAACACGCTATATAAACTAAGCATAGATATCAGTACGCATCATTGACTATTCGACACTTGACAATGGTTGCTACTATAGAGGGAACAATTTTCTAAACCACGTTTGTATAGACAGATTTCTATGTACAATGCCAAAAGTTTGTCATTAATATCTCAAATGCTATTCATTTCTCGAAACTAATATTTTACATTTAATGTCTACCCACCCTCTACTTCCTTCTAAAATTTAGTGCCAAGACATGTGCTCTTCGGAAGAACACCCTCATTTTTACACAAAAACACGTTAGCAGTGACCAAAGAATAAATAGACATTTCTTAAGCGTAGTAATCTATGAATGTACAATGGAATATAAAATGTATGTTAGGCGAGTAAAGTTTGTTAGCATTATGTTTAAAAATTACCTGTTGTTGATGCGCGAGAGTCTGCTTCATTAGAACCATTTTGATACTTTGTTCCATTGCATATTTTTTTGCTCTATTTACTGTATCCTGTTGTTCAGATGTAATTTTTGGGAGACCTGCACCTAGAATGCCAGGTAATGTAAGATATTTAGCTCCAGGTCCTGTAACAACACAAGTATCATATTATGTAAGACAAAACATATTTCATTGAAATATAACTTACAAAGTAATATTCTTTCAGATCTTATCAGCTATTTGTCCACTAAATTATTATTCACTCTCAACATAACTTCAATTGGAGCAACAAATTTTAATTGTCACAATTACTTTATATACATCATGTACAGATACTACACTGCAAAATAACTTAAAATGGCTACCAACAAAACAAAATAACTCTTTTAACAGCTATTAAATGAAAATATATAGCTTTCTTTTTTCCCTTATACTACTTTAATTACTGTTATCTGTATAGATTATATTTAAATACGTATTACAAATTGGTAGTTCCAGTGTTAAATTATTTCAATTATTTTAATAATTTATATTTACATACCAGCAACAACTTGTCCAATCTGATTAAGATCATATATAGGGCCTGGCAAGAACTCTGACGCATTTCCTACGAAAAAAGTTTGCATTAGATAAAGACGAAACATAATAGTTATTACATTTAGTACTTCCACCATCACACACATATAAACTTTTTAAAAAATATTAGTTATATTTGCTTCCTATTCTTTTACTTTTTGTTTTCATTTTTTTTTAATTCTTTTTTTCCCTTACTTTGCGATGATAGAGGTACTAAAACAGTTTACAGTTTTATACAGATTTGATTTCTTAATTTTTAGTCTTATTATTTGTTAAAATTAAACAGAACTTGAATTATACATATGACTAATATTTAATTCAAGATATCTAAGATTTGTTGAACAAGTATACTGTATAATTTTAATCAGCACAAGTTTTATAAATCTCTACAAAATTTTTAATATGGACAAAGAGTGAAAGAAATGACTTAAAAAGAGACGGAAAAAGTAATGATGTCGTACAGCAATTCCCACTGCAGTAGAACCGTCCTCCAAACTGTAAGTTCAAAGAAATTAAAACAATCAAGAACAATAACGTTACCCTTGTATATGAAGTAAGTGTATATACACAATTACACTCGCATATGTAAATACATATTAAAAGAGATATATTCACTTTTTCTTTCACGCCATTAAAATAAAAATTCTTTTATATCTTGAAAGAGAAATAACGTCAAAATTGTGCTAAAACAATATTATAATTTAAGAGAAATCATTGCAATTATTTGATTAACAATTTTCATTTAAATTTCATTACTGTTTACACTATCAGCCCCAAAAAAAGACTACCAATAACTAGATTAGGTTTCGTATGATCATAACCAATTTGGTCTGCTAGTCTCTGAAACAGAAATCAGAACACGTTGAAACGTTTCTTTCTCTCTTTTATGACTTTTGCAGTTTCCCGAATTAATACTATTAGCTTTGTTCGATCATTTGATTAACGGCTAACCGTGTTCTGGGCTGAGCAATGATGGTTGTGCGCAAACTATCCGAGATTGAGGCGACGCACAAATCTGTAAGCACAAAGCAAAGGAGAATACTCTCAGTGCATTTTCTGCGCCATTTTCTTACAGTTTGCCTTTTCCAACCTACCACGCAATTAACCCTAACACGTTCTGTATAGCAATGGCGATCCTAATTAATAAAAAAAAAAGAATCTAACATGATCGACCTTTCGAAAAGTATACTTTCCTTGCGTTGTGCACCCTACATGAATAACATTCTTATTTGCTTATAACACGTCTTCTTTAATAAAAGAACAAATTACCTCATGTTTACATAATACAGATATAAATATGATAAACTTTGAGAATATCTTAAAACAAATAACCGCCATTGCATTTCCTATTTATAAGCCTCTTCTATTTTGCTTTACATTTAATTTTATATAATTAAACAGTTTATTTGTTATAAAAAAAGAACACATTTAAACTAAAAAAAATATACATAAAATTAATGTTTTAAATAGCGTTTTTAAAAATAATATTTTAGATAAAGTATACCCAAATTACTTTTTTGTTTTGACATAAAATAGATAATAGAAGCTTATAATTAGGACAAAATAAGATTACCCTAAAATGCTGACCTATCTAAAATACGCATCATATATGGTACTCGACAATAGATGCTGTGTCAGTAGGAGTTTGCAAAACTCTGATTTGTTCTGTTCAACGAATGTAGCGTTCTCTTTCTTTGTTTGGCGCACGCTCATGATCACAGCTCAGTCGTAGGCCACAGATTCTGTACTGTCTCTCCGCTGTAACATCTCAGAACAGAAGGACAACCATACATTAGTTTTATTGAGGGCCAACGATCACCTATCACCCTAGCCTACCAAAATATATTCTGAAACTGCAATAGACCACTCAACACTTATAGCTTGCCAGCATTTTAATAGAAAGCTAGCACCTGATTGTCCTAAGTAAATAATATATGTTTTTCTTCATCATTTCCTTTGCTTAGAAATATATTATGCTTGCTGTTGCTTCTGTGTTCACCGTCTTTTCCAGTTGTATGCTTAATTGTATAGTTTATTAGTATAAATCAGGGAAATACATCTATTTGGGAATATTAGCAATGTACCTTCAACTCTAGGTTTCTTGTTTGGAGGTTCCATATTATTCTGGGATGATGGTGCCTAAAAACATATAAAATATTTATGAGATTATATAACAAAAAGAAATAATAACTAATTATTTATTAAAGAAATAGTTCTATAGTGCTTTACTTACTGATACATTTTGATTATTTTCATTAACTTTAATGATTTTAATTTATGCATTGTATTATAATTTGAAACAATTATATTACAATGTCTTTTATAATGGAAAAATCATATTTTAAAGTTTTGTGGAAAGAAATTTAAATAAAAACATAAATGGAAAAGTAACCACTTACAAATTTTACATTAAAGTAATATAGTTTAGAAATAAAAGTTAAAAGAGAAAGTTAATAATTTTATTTATAGTATCAATATTACAGAATCAATTATTAACAACAATATGTTAGTAAAATATTATAAATATATATTACTACTATATATTTTATTGAATAATTTAAGTTTATTAATCATAAGTACGTTATAAGCATTCTGCAACCGCCATCATGATCCAAAAGATTTGCTACTTCTATCATTTCGAGACTTTTTATGGAATTAATGGTAGTAATTAACTTACCATAGCCATTGCTCCATTCATTATGCCGTGTGATACAATAGGATTCACTTCTTTTAGATGTATTTTACTAAGTAAATTTCAATAGATTTGGAACAAGTAAGTTACATACAAAATGATCTGAAGCTTGCCTTTACGGAAGTGTTATAAATACTACGTAAGTCAACTATAATTTTATATTAAATTGTATAATAATAACTTCAATGAGTAATGTAGATATACTAGCATTAACATTTAAACAAAAATGCAATTCTATTTAAATAACTTTGTTGTATATTTTTCACCATTAAAAATAACTTTCTCTTTTGGTTCTAAATTCTTTTACTAGTCATGATATGACTAATGTAGTATAATTGTGACAATTACAGACGTGAGTTTAAAGGTTAAAAATTAATGTAATTCTTTGTTATAAAATCAATTACAATGAGTTCCAATGACTTTCAGATCAGATTAATTAATAACGAAAAGGTACAAACAATTATATAATTCATTATTATTTTATATTAAAATTTATAAATTTTTAAATATATTTAGTTATTTACTTGACACATGGAACTTTCTTTTGTATTCACATATTAATGACAAGTTTAAATATTTTAATATTAAATATAGAAACAAAATAATTATAAATGTATTGCAGGGTAAAGGTCTTATTGCTGTTCGTTCATTTAAAGATGGAGATACAATCTTGGAAGAAAAACCTATAATTTGTTGTCAATTTGCATGGAATTTAGACTATGGATATTTAGCTTGTGACAATTGTTTAAAACCTTTAGAGACTGCTGAGGAAAATGTACGCAGATTAACTGAAAATTCAGCAATTATTTTACCTCATTCAGAATGCTGCGAAACAAAGAAAGATTTAATTACAGAATGTCCTGAATGTGGTACAAAATATTGTAGTGTTGAATGTCAGAATGAAGCTTATTTGAGGTAATATTGCAATTATACAAATATAATAAAGAGAATGTAATTATGTGTCATATGAAAATTTCAGATATCATAGTACAATATGTCTACAATCAAGAGAAAAAGATGAATCTCATCCGTTGGTGCAATTAAATGAAACATGGAAGCAAATGCATTATCCACCAGAATCAGCAACAGTAATGTTATTAGTGAAAATGGTAGCTCTTGTTAATCAAGCCAGTAATAAAGAAAATATCCTTTCAACTTTTTCACAATTTTGTCATCGTACAGTGAATGATAGACATGAAATTGCACATAAACTATTAGGAGAAAGATTTATTGGTCAAATTGATGTACTCAGACAAATGATGCAGAAAGCTGTAAATACAGAATTTACAGAACATGTATGTAACTCAAATATAAATGTTTTTTTAAAAAATATAATATAAAATAAATTATTTAAGTTTCAATTTATAGTGGTTCACACCAGAAGGATTTAAAAGTCTCTTAGCATTAGTAGGTACAAATGGTCAAGGAATTGGAACTAGTGCATTTAGTCGTTGGGTTAAAAATGTATCTGCTTTGGAATTACCAAGAGACGAAAGAATTCATATTGACAAATTAATAGATCGAATTTATTATGATATGGAAGATGGTAATTTTAATATAAAAATTGGGTTTATAATTTGTAATTACATACATTTTACTTTATCACAAATTTTATCCTTTTTAGCAGTGGCATTTTTTCTAAACAATGAAGGTTCAGGCCTTTATGTTCTGCAGTCATCTGTAAATCATAGTTGTGTACCAAATGCAATTGTAGAATTTCCTTACTCAAACAATGTATTGGTTTTAAAAGCTATACGTGATATTCATCCTGAAGAGGAAATATGTATAAACTATCTTGATGAATGTTGTTTAGAAAGAAGTAGACATTCTCGACAGAAAGCTTTAAGTTCTTTATATTTGTTCCACTGCTATTGTAACAAGTGCGTATCACAAGCTAATGATCCAGATTTAACATCAGAAGATGAAATAGATGATGACATGTCCAGTTGAAAATGTGAATTTTTATAGTATATATACATATAAATAAATTTTATAATATTCATGTATGTTACAATGTATACATTATACGATTTACCTGTATTTATACTATATGTAATGTAATTTTATTATTAAGTTAAGATATTGCAAGTTATATATAAACTTATAACATGTAATTCAGTGCTATTTACAAATATAATGCTTTGCTTTCATCTCCTTTTAAATATCTTACTTCCTAGAGCTGATAGAATTAATATATTGTTACAGACTCGTAGCAATATTGTCATAGGAAACAATTATGTTTATTAATATGACTATTTTATATCCAACACAATTGGTGTCAATGGTTTTGTATATTAATACTTTATAATAATAAGATCAATGTTTTATTTCTGTAATATCTGCTTAAGGTATGTATCATATTTATACATAGATATAATATGTTATTTATAAATCATTATGATATGATAAAGTGTCAAGTAAATTTTATATAAAAATGTTCTATTGCAACATTGTTATACATTGTACATATATACATACATATACATATTATAAATATAATTAGAATATTGTTTTATATAGGTTTTAAATACCTTTTTATTGTCTTTTAAATAACATTTCACTTCTCATGGAATATATTGCATATTATATTATTATAAACTTTTTTTATCTTATTAATTGCTATAAAATGATTTAAAAGAAAATATATCTTGCTTCTTTATTTTTAATTAACTTAAAATTACATTGAATTATATGCAATAATTATTTAAAAATATATTTAATTTGAACTCAATTGCACAAATTCTAAATTAATAGTTTAAAAATGATGACTTTACATAACATGGTAATAATTCTTATTACTTTGTCTTTCAGAATTTAAATAATTACATAACTATTAAAATAATGAGCAAGCTTTACCTGCATTAATTTTATATTAGTGTTACGTGTCATTTAAATATTAATTATCAATTATTTTGAAGTGTAAATTCATTTTTCCCTAACATCATTAGATTTGATATGTAATAAGGTACAGGTGGATTAAGTATACGTCGTTCTATTAATTTTGTTAAACATGTGGCAATGTTACGACTGCGAAATTCCCATCTGAAACACATTGAAATGCATACAACATTAAAATTTCATTAAAATTACACAGCATTACATCATACTATAATTTTATTTAAACAAAACTTACGTTACATGTATATTTTCATTTGGTAATTTTATTGTTACATCTTTTTGTGACAAAGATATACCAGGTCGGTTTATAACAAGTACTTCTAATGTCGGAGGATTATCGCCAAAACATTTTTCAGCATATCTTCTCCGTTGTTTTTGCTGAGTAAAACTTATACCTGTTTCCCTATAGAATGTATAAAATATGTAATATGACATTATTTTTATAAAATTCATAAATTTTACTCCATCTAAAATTGAAAAAAAGCATTACTTTCTATCAGGAGCACCATCTTTGAATACTAAATTTTTATTAATATTCTTATAATTTATTGTTCCTTCTTTTTTCCTCCAACACAATTCACTTAATGATTTAATATCTTTACCCATTAATTTAAATCTTTTAGAGCCTTCAAAACCTAAACTTTTCGCTATTCCATCCAAAATATTAAATGAAACATTTTTATTAGTAGAAAAGAAATATTTTTGGCCTATAAATAAAGCAAAAAAGTGTGGAACTTCAGTTCGCACTTTATTTCTTTTATCTCTTTTTTTTATTAAAGAGACATATATAATACCGTGATGTGTATTTATTTTTACATTAATTTTCATATGCATTGAATCAAAATAACCTTGCATATTTTTTTGAAACTCTTTATTCGTAAGATAACTCGCAGATTTATTAGAACCTATCAATATGTAACCATACCACATTCTTCTATTACTATGCCAACTTATATCTGAAAAATATGAATTTCATTATTAATTTATAATGTAAATAATATGGTATAAGTGGCCACTTGATGTCTATATTACCAATTAATTGCAATGTTAAAAAACGATCTCTTAAAATTTTGTGTCCAAGTTTTTCTTCCTTATATAGAGAAAATAAAACATACACGTATATATTATACATAAAAATGAATAAAAGTAATAAAATTATAATATATCTATGCAGAACACTTACAGTTATAGCTATTTTAATAAGTTGGGCTACATTAGATGATGAAAACTTTTCATTATATTTAACTAAATTAGATCTTATATTAGCCCATGATGTTTCTGGGAAAATTGGCATTACTGATAATTCTAAATCTTCAAATTTGAATCTTTTAATAATATTAATTATTTTTTGTTGCACAGATTCAAGTGTTGCTGAAAGTCAGAAGAAAATTATTAATGCAATTTTATTTCATTAGTATTTCAATACAACTGCTTTAAGTTATAAATGATATTTTGTAATTTTAATTTGTTGAAGAATACTAACCGATTGGCATAATGTGAAATAAAAATAAAACAAACTGCAATGACAAATAAAAGATTGTTGTAACGCTAAAATTTACAATATATTAGCAAATGTTACACTCGTGCATAAAACAGCCTACTATTTCCCGCCTAAATCCAATTGAATTCTATGATAAAACCATAAACGAAATGTAACATAGCTTTAACATTTAATGCAGTTTTTTGCCATTGACAAAATTTAAATAAGCAGCATGTAATTTTCGTATGATATCGCTTTTCAAAATACATTTTTGAAAAAACATTATCAGTTATCACAATTCTCATCAAAGAAAATATTATGTAAAGATCTATTAGACTTCAATAAACAAATTTTTTATAAATCTATAAATTTAGTTATAATTTTATTTTATTATATATTTTATTATTAATAAAAAATGCGAAAACATAAATGGTCCAATGGCTATTAATAACTAAGTATACAATGTTATTTTTTTTTATAGATATTATTTCAGTAGTTAATTTATATATCGTAAATTATATTTTGTAGAAAGAGTAAAAAACTTTTAACTTCTCAAAATCTATATTTCGATTTGTACAACATTAAATCCAATGAGATGTTATATCTATGTTGTAGTTTATCTGTGATAATACGCAAGCGTAATACGAAAATGTGAGATTATAAATGCAGTACTATCTGACGATTGTACGAAGTTGTCACGGTGCACTTGTCGCATGATGGCGCAACATGTTGTCTACTCAAGCACACCGGCAGCTCTTTTATTACTTGTTTTTGTAATATCCAACTTAATAAGTATTGATGCATTTACAAAAGTGAAACTATCTGATAATTTAAGTGTTAAATCAGTGGATGTTTTAATTAGGAAACAATCTTATATACCAGAGAATGTGTCTACTAGCTCAGGTTTCTTAATCGAAGTTCTTGGCACCGGCCTCGAGAATAACGTTTCATTACGCTGGTCACGTACATTTGACAATTGCGATTCAGAAAACAAATTAAGTGCAGTTTGGATTTCACCGAATGGCAGTCGTGCGATATATAAGTTTATTCAAGTTCCTAATTTTAAGGTTACCACGATCTATTTCTGTAAAAAAATCGTCGGCAGATTCGGTGAAACATGGACCAATCTTGGAAGTAATTTTACTATCAAGTTTCCAACACAGTCAGAGTAAGTTGAATATTAGATAACTTGTCTTTATCCGAGCATCATTACAGTAAATTCTATTTCCTTATAAATAATAGATATTTATCCTATGACACGACACCATTTTTTAAGAAGATGAAAATCCCGATATTATCGACCTCAAGGACCTTATTATAATTAATATATAAATACAATTTTTTTATTACAATATAATGTCATAAAAAAGCGTTTTAATTTAATTTCATGTACAATTTTGTGTCTGAATAATATTATTCTGAATAATAATTTTTATATTATTAATTTTAATTAATTGATTAGTTAGAGATCCAATTGAAATAAATTTATTTAATTTTATCTTCTCTGTATCTTTTTGCTTATATATTAGGTATGTTAAACTTATAATTCTGTAATTTAGTTTGTTTCTTATTTTGTTTACAAACATTAATCTTACTGCACAATTTCTTGTTAAATAAATTTTTAAATAATTCATGGAGTTTCTTTTAATTAATTCTAATAATTTTTAATTTTTTTTTTCCTTTTTTTTTTTAAGAAATATTAATTTAATCTATTTTTTGTATCAATTATTCTCAGAAAATATTTTCGTATGCGCCGTGCTAATTTATCAGCCACTGTCACTGATGACCCCAAAAATCTATTGACTCAGCAAATCCATACAGATGTGTATATTGAGGGTTTGAGAATAGAGACATCAGAAAAGGATCCTAGTTACAGAGAAGATGGTATTCCAGAAATACTTGCAGGGAGCAAAGCAGTTATAAGATTATTTGGTTTTGGTTTCACAGAAGATACTTTGATTACTTTCACTGATGAACCAGCCAAGAGGGGTACTATTTGTGATAAAATTAAAAGTAATGAATTTCTTGTAAGTAACTCTAGTTTACTTATTAAAATTTATATTATAAATCATTTTTTAAACATATGATTAATATAGGTAAAAAATGTACAAAATAATACTGCAACTATTGATGTAGTATTACCCCTTGGTTCACCTTTTTACATATGTGTAAAACAACCATTCTATGGAGAGGAAGGTCCAAACCTTTTACTTTTTAAACATCAAGGCATAGAATCTTGGAATACTGTGTGTAATAAAACATAATAAAAACAAAATATCATTGGAAGTTAATATATAACAAAAATTTATTTACAGATATATACATATGAAAAATTTTTACCACTTTGGCTTAGTATTGTAATTATTCTCATGTGTCTTACTTTTTCTGCTTTATTCTCCGGTTTAAATTTGGGATTAATGGCAATGGATAGAACAGAGTTGAAGATACTTTGTAATACAGGAACAGAAAAGGTATCTTGGATTCTATATTACTAGATAGATCTACTTGAATATATGTAATTTTATGAGAATTTAGTAATTGTTTAATAATTTATGCATTAAAGGAAAAACAATATGCAAGAACAATACAACCAGTGAGAAATCATGGGAATTATTTGTTATGTTCAATTTTATTCTCAAATGTTTTGGTGAATTCAATCTTTACTATTCTGTTAGATGACTTAACTTCTGGATTAGTTGCTGTTATTTGTTCTACACTAGCTATTGTAATTTTTGGTGAAATTTCACCACAAGTAAGTATATTTAAAAATTATACATATATAGACTACAGATATCAAGTAAAATTACAATTTATTGATTTATAAATAATTTGATTAAAGAAGAATTATTTTATATCTTCAGGCTATTTGCAGTAGACATGGATTGTGTATTGGAGCAAAAACTATTTATATTACAAAGTTAACTATGATAATAACATTTCCATTGAGCTATCCTATTAGTAAACTTTTGGATGTTCTTCTTGGAGAAGAAATTGGCAATGTGTATAATCGTGAACGGTTAAAGGAACTTGTGAAGGTATGAGAAACAAAGTAATGATAATATTTTACATTTTCTATATTCTTAATATTATTCATTTTTGTTTGCAATTTGAAGTATATATTATCAAATACATTTTCAAATGTTTTACTGTTATGAATCTTATCAGAATGAGTATGGATAGGGCAGATAATTATACTAACATCTAAATTCAATCATATGAAGGTAAGATATAGATCTACTGACGTCTGCTTGAAGTTTTTACATCTTTCAAAGTATAAGTTAGATTACTTATCATTGTGAAATTTAAGATAACTTTACACATTTATACTGTGCTAACTTAAATTGAATTTATCTTCAAAACATATTTTTACAAAATATACTTATTCATGCATGTACACGCGTCAGACATACATATATAGTACAAAGAGAAATTACTTATATAATTAATGTCCATTAATTTTTTATCATATACTCTCTTCATATAATCTAATAACATTATCAAAAATTTTATATCAACATGTAAAATTATAACTATATGTTATTATTTGTAGGTGACAACAGGATATAATGATTTAGAAAAAGATGAGGTGAACATTATTGCTGGAGCATTAGAATTACCGAAGAAAACTGTTGCAGATGTAATGACAAAAATTGAAGATGTATATATGTTGGATTATAATGCAGTTTTAGATTTTGAAACAGTGTCAGAAATTATGAAATCAGGTTTATACTTTACTTACATTATTCATAATTTTACAAATGAAATAAATAAAATAAAAATAATCAATATATATAATTTATATTATTTATCTTTATTATCTCCACATTTTAGGTTTTTCTCGTATACCAGTATATGAAGGTTCAAGGATAAATATTGTGACAATGCTTTATATTAAAGATCTCGCATTTGTTGATCCAGATGATAATATGCCATTAAAAACTTTATGTCAATTTTATCAAAATCCATGCAACTTTATTTTTGAAGACGTTACGCTAGACATTATGTTTAAACAATTTAAAGAAGGTTTACAATTTTCAAATTAATTTAAATCATTGGCCCGTTTAGTTTCTTTTGTTAAAAAATCAAAATATACATATATGATAGAAACCTACATTTATTTTAGGTAATAAAGGTCACATGGCATTTGTTCAAAGGGTTAATAACGAAGGTGAAGGTGATCCATTCTATGAAGTAATAGGATTGGTTACACTAGAGGATGTTATAGAAGAACTGATTCAAGCTGAAATTATGGATGAAACTGATGTTTTTAGTAAGTTATCTTTATGACAAATCCAACATTTTGTACGTATTTGAACATAAATAATTGTAATCATATTTTTTTTATTTTATTTTTACAGCGGATAATAAAACTAAACGCAGAAGACAAGCTAGACATAAAATACAAGATTTTACTGTATTTGCAGAGAAAAAAGAAAATCAACGAATTCATATATCACCACAATTAACATTGGCCATGTTTCAGTACTTGTCTACAAGTAGGAAGAAATATTTTGATTTACGAAAATATGAAATTTATATAAAACTTTTTGTAGTGTTGTTAAAATGTATCTGAGTCTAATATGTAATCCACAGCTGTAGATGCTTTTAAGCCCGATACAATATCAGAAACTATTTTGCGTCGTTTACTTAAACAAGATATAATTTATCATATCAAAGTGAAATCGCGGGAAAAAGCAAGAAATGATCCAGGAGCGGTAATTTATCAACAAGGAAAGGCAGTTGACTATTTCGTTTTAATCTTGGAAGGTCGAGTGGAAGTTACCGTTGGAAAAGAGAATATGATGTTTGAAAGTGGTCCTTTTACTTGCTTTGGTTCTCAAGCACTTACTGTCAATGTTGGAATTGGTAACATTTATGTTAAGTTCACTTATGTGTTTAGTATATTCAGTGTATTTTATATAGTTATATATAAAACTTTTTAGCCGAGTCGCCTACCAATACAAATCCTCAAACAGTGGGAAGCATACAATCGATTAATTTAGATTCTATGTTACGGTATACATTCGTTCCCGATTATACAGTACGAGCAGTATCAGAAGTGTTTTATGTAAAAGTTAAAAGATCGCTATATTTGGCTGCAAAACGTGCTACACTTTTAGAAAGAAGTCAAAAAGATTCGTTACCTGGTCAGGAACAATTTGACGACGAAGTAGAAAAGGTGAATTGCATAAAATATGGATAATATTATTGATTATAATGATAAAATTTTTTATCTTATAATTTTATAATCCTTAGTTATTACATTCGTTGGATGAAGACGATCGTAGTATGCCTGAATCTCCAATATTGCCCATCGACAAAGAAAAGGAAAATAAAAAGGAAAAAGAAAAAGAAAAAGAAAAAGAGATAGAAAAAGAGAAAGATGGTGTGCAATCTCCTCTTCATAGCGCAACCGCTCCAACTTCACCTGCTCCAGTCAGCGCTAGTCCAGTTACACATTCAAAATTCATCTCATCATATAGTGATCATAATGGGAAACTCAAAAATTCACCAGTAAAGGTTGCTTTTTTTTATTATTATGATTTTATTATTTCTGTATTACGAAATGTAAAAAGTTATGATTTGGATTAGAAAGTAATTACTTCGTGAATAATATATTTTAGATGATGATAACCAGTCCTGGTCAAGCACAACCTAAATTAGAATTAAATACCGAGATTCTTGCTCGTCAAGAAATAAACAGAGCAATATCAGCAAAGAAGTTAATCGAAGATGAAGAAAGAACGAATCTTCTGCCTAAGCAAGAAGATTCTTAACGTTCGGAGAATAGTCGACGATATTTAAACGAGTCGACATTAACTATGCAGGTATTAAACTACGAAGAGCAGGAAAAACCTCTATGACATACAATGCTATCATGGCATTAGGTACTTAACAAATTACTTAAATATTTATAACAAAACAAATTAATAGTTGATCTTGTGTATTTTAAGTTTTAAAGATTTCAGAAACCATGTACGATATATATTTTAGTTCTATAAGTTAGTACGCTCAGGGAAAGTTGCCAAAATTTCAGATACTCATATACACTCTACGTAAATAGCTTAATACGTAATTAAAATTTAAATACACTTTCAATCGATATTTTCTTTTCTTTTTTTCTATGTTTCGTATTTTAAAGGAGCGGAACACTTAATAAAAGTCGTCTATTATTATTATTATTATAAGAAATTTCATTTTCTATTATTTATCACAAAATGCACAATTTTTGTGATAAATATTTTTTAACAATTCTTGAACATTTGTAAATATCACTTTACCATGCATTTTCTCATAAAAATAACACTTATGAAATGTGCATTTCTTTCGTGTCCATGAAATACACATTTACATGACATTTCTTAATGATTACATGAATAGTTCTCGTTGTTATGCTTATATCTTACAAAACGAAAAACAGTCAAAACAAAATAACATACAAAATATCACTGCAGTTGTGTAATGTTATGTAGATACTGTAGTAACAAAAAAATGTAAACTATAATTAGATTTTTTAAATTTCTAACACTATTAGATTGGGAAACTTCACTCATGGGCGACTAAGAACGCGCTATGATGAAAAGTTAAAAGAACATCTGAACATATAATCCAACATATTCTTTAAACGTTCAAGGGTCTTTAAAACTATATTTTTTTCTTCAATTATCTTGTATTCGTTAAATCATATTCCTTGTACAAGTGTGAATAGTGTAAATAGAAGGGACAATTTGTTCCTATTTGTAATGAATTATGAAATTCTCGGTATAAAAATACTATGTATTTTTATTCAGTGCCTTATAAGATTTATAAACTGTGTTTAATCATGTTTAACAAAATACATTTTGGTAGGAAATGGATATAATTTCTATATTAAATTCAAGTCATTATTCATTTAAATTTGTTTACTATCATAAAATGCAACTAATGTAACTTTCAGTTTGAAATAGAAATTCACATTTTTATTTTTATTTTTATTTTTATTCATTTGTAACATGTGTATAACATGAATGTTATAGAATATGTTATATAATACGTGTTTGTGAAAAAAAGAAAGTAAGAGAAAGAAATATAAGTGATAACATAACGGTACAATCCTTGTAGAGGAATAGTGAATTTAAAAAAGTTCGATATTTTATCTTTTTTTTTTTTTTTTTTTTAATTTTTAATTTTTTTATTATTATACAAAACAATTACCTAAATATGATTTGATGTTCACCTTTTGTACATATCTTATGTTACAAATAGATCAATAGTTTGAAATAATATTTTATAAATAGAAATTTTTGTGGATTTCAAAGCGCCTCTAACAAAATAATAATTATGTAATAAATCGTTAAACCTACATAGTAACCAAGTACTATAAAAAGAACTTATTATTGGTTTTCTTCATGAAAAAGAAATTCAATTAGTGTACGTGGATTTAAGAAATACAAACAAGTCTGTCATAAAATTATACAACTTATTATTTCTTTTTAAAATCTAATAGATAGATAGATTATTACTGCCATATTTTTTAAATGATATATGTTGTTTCAATACTTATTTTAAACAATTCCTAAAAATACATAAAATCATTTAAAATATTACTATTATTTATAGATATTAACTATTTGAAAACTGTATGATAATATAATTTTTGATTATGAAATATTGGAGTTTATATGTATGTATTTTTGTTATAGAAAAATATTGTTTAAACATAGCATAAACTTCAGGTTTTTAAAACATCATTCAGATTTTATTTTTATATAAATATATATTTATTATTTGAACAATTTTATGTAAACATATATGTTTGCACATCTCAGGCAATTTTATGAAATATTTTTCATGAATATTGAGTATATAATATAACTTTAAAATCTATGTATTTGTATTAATATATTATGTTACAATTAACATTAATGTAATAATAGAATGCGTATCTTAAAATTACAATAGGTAGACATTACAGTGTCATATATCATAAAGCATTTATTGCTCTTTTGTCATTTACTTTTTCTTCTATATTGCTTAATTTTTTGTCTTCAATTTAGAATAAACATTACATATAACATTTATATAGTTTAATTTAAAGTACTTATTGAAATGTATTTATGTTTACAGTCTTTCATAGAATTTATAGATACTACTAACAATGTGTTTATATTTGTAATAATTTTAAATTATGTTTACAATAGAAACTATACCTTGCAATCAAGATTTAAACATTAATTAGTCATGTAAAAAAAAAAAAAAAAAGAAAAAGAAAAAATGGAAAATAACAATTATTGTTATATTAAGAATAGTTTTCATGTATTAAATTTGTATGATGATTTTTAGTTGATTAATATCATGTAATAGTGTGCCTACTAAATAAATATAAATTGTATGTTTATACCATACTGTTTACACCAATAGCAAACAATTTTACTAAAGTCAACAACAATTTTATTTTGCTATGGTGTATCATTACTTAAAACTCAAAATTTCTTTTTTTTAAAAAAGATATATGGTTGCTTTGAATGATACAAAGAATAGAGCTACTGGAATATTTTAAGTAATTCGAAATTCAAACCAAATTGACAGGGAAAGTGCAAGTCCTTTGGATCATCGATTTAGTTGAAACTTCGCAGGTTTGTAGATTTCTTCATGCAGTTCAAGAAACTATATCATTATAGATACAACTATTCACTAGTTTTTGAGATATTTATGGTTAAAATTTTATTACATATTTAACTACAGATTTATTTCCAATAGTTTTCAAGTGGCGTTGTGGCCTAACGGCGACATTCAAAAATTTCTATGCTTAAAGATCCAGGTTTCGATTTCCATCCATAGTTAGTAATTTTTTTTCAATCTATTTCTTATTTTGTATTCTGTTTTCGCCTATGAAAACATTGTAAATAAACAATTGTAAATAAAATTTCTTAATAAAAAAATTTATTTTTTACACTTTCTTATGCTAGTATGTATTAGTTACAAAATAATAAGAATACTATGCAAGAAAAACAGTTTTCTATAGCAATCTTATTTACTACAGAAAGAACATAAAAATACACAGGAAATACAAAACCTATCGCTCAAGTAAGTATTAATTACATCCTGACAAACTTTCTGATCACACCGGAGTAAAAATTATTGTACAGATCATAAAAATTATAATACAGATCAAACCGGGTGCCAATACCACTCTACCTTTTGGGTATTTATTTAGGCAAAAATTTGGGATATTCTTCCGAATGACACCCCCCTATTCTAATTTATACGGAATTTAGAAAAATAAGAGGGGACAGAAAATAGATTACAAATATAAAATTTTAATAGTTTTCGAAATTTTAATAAAAATGAAAGTAGGCAGAAATTACAAAATTCAAAACTTTCAATTTTTTAAACAAATGTGAAATTAATCAAATAATGATTTAATTTCCCATCTCTGTAATTTCACATGCAATGATATATAATTTATTATAACAAAGGATATTACGTAGCATTAAAAAAGTGTATGTCACTTATGAACAAATCAAAATTTATTTCTAATAAAATGTAGATAGATCAATTGTATTATCAATAAAACACTAAAAAATTTATAAACCAAATTATAATAAATCATTTATTTTGTATATTGTTAAGTTTTAAGTATTACCAAGTTGTTTTCTTAAACTTTTCTTAATTTCAGATAATTTTTTTATATTAACGTTTTTTTCTTGTATAAGAGTTTGGAGTATAACAATTTTAGAATTTACAAAATCATAATTTATAGAATTAGAATTTTGTCTTGTCCTTCTCTTCTTGGTTTGTTCAAAATGTGGATTGATTATATAATCCCTTATCAGACACCAAGGATATCTTTCATCTTTGAAAGCTATTATATCTATTCCAATCTGTGAAAAATTTACTGTTAGATCTTTGGGTATATAAAGGTCAACTGTGGTCTCCTGATCTATTACTTTCTTCATAGAAAACAGATTTTTACATCCCGATTTTACATTAAGAATTACCCAACTATTTTTAGGCAACATATTTTGAAAATTTGCTGACAAGAACAATTGATTAGTTATGTGATTTATCATTATTTTTGGACATAATCGTATTTTTTGTTTATGTGCATATAAATTTATTCTCCTTAATTTATCTTCTTCTGCTGTTAATATCTCATTCAAGACATCTAATTCTTGAGTACCTTTATAAATTTTATCCATTATAAGTGTAGCACCTTCTAACATGTTGTAATGAAGATTAATAATGGTATCAGTTTCCAAAGATAATATTCTTTCCACTGTATCTATAGAGAAATCTACTAATTGCTTATTCATTGTTAAACCTAGGATTAGCTTGGAATCATATGTTTGTAAACATACAAACCTTTTATCTTGAACTTTTGTTTGATGAATAATATTGGGCAATAATTGTTTTGTTGCATAATATAGTTTAGATTCAGATGAATAAACAATCCATAATGTATTTTCTGAAAATTGACTAAAACCAGCACAAATGGCTTGTATTTTTATTCTTAGATAAATTGTTTGAGAAACAAGCATATTATCCTTTGAATGTATTATAGTAATTACATCTGTATTACCAATCAAAAGTAGCCCATCAATTTTGGAACTCTTTTGTACAGGTATTATATCTTTAATAGGATAAATACTATTATATATTATTTGTAGAGTCTCATTTATTAGTGTAAAAAGTTTTAGCCCATCTCCAATTATACATAAATTTTCTATTGATGCAGAATCACTACATGATAAAGCTTTCATAAAATGTCCTGTAACACTATCCACATTTAATGGATAAACACATAACTTACTGGAATCAATCTCATTGGAAGAAAGTTTAAACAGCATCTTATTTGTCATCTTTTGCTTGTTATCCAAATAAAGATATTTATTTCTTGGTGTCAACACTTCATAAAAGACCGTTCCCATTCCAATAGCATTTTTACTTAAAACGGCAAATTTTTGTTCTCTCGTAAATTTATAAATGCCTTGTGGAATACAAACTACAAAAATTCGATCAGTAAAACATTGTATAGTTTTTATTAAAGCCGGAGCTGTCAAAACCGTGGCAAATACTTTGTTATTATTTGTGTATGGAAATATTATAAATTTATTTTTGTCCCAACAAAAACAAGTTCTTTCACCATAAAATGTATGAATAATAAAATTTTTTGGTAAAAAATAAGTATCTGTCGTAATATACATTATTATTATCATAAAGTATTGTATTACACATGTAATGGTACACTGACAATATTTTATAACAAAAATATTCTTAAGATTTTTATTTGTAAAAAATTTACAAATAAAAGAAACGGTGAAATTAGGTTAATTCTAGAAACGAAGCGCACCATCGTACGACGAGTTTAATAACTAAGACTTTCTTCACATATTTTAATCATTTGCGTATCTACTATAAGTTCTAATTAGTTTGTGTCAGAGAAATTTTATCGTTCTTCTTGTCTTGAAGTAATTATTGTACATTCAATATGAAAATGATACAATAGTTGTAATAATAGTTCTATTCGAAAAAATTTCATTTAAAAATGGAATTGTTTCATCGAGAAGCAAAATTTTATTATTTAAAATGATAATAAACGACATACATTCTGCCATCATTTTTCTTTTAAAAATTTCATAATATAAATTTTATTTTTTTATATTTAACTTTACACTTTAATATATAATTTGCTTCTTCTAATTGTTAATACAATATATCCACGTGTTTAATAGATTATGTGGAATTCAATGATTAATGAACTTGATGAACCCCGCGTTAGAACTTATGCCGAAATATTAAAACAAAAACAAGATGATGAAGGATGTGAAACTGCAAGTTCAATATGGCAGGTGTGCCTTTTATATAAATGAAATAATCTATTAAATATCTTTCCTTTTGTTTCTTTCCTTTTTTTTTTTTTTTAACTAATATTCTTTAATGTTATGTTTATAGAATCATGTTGAAAATAATATACTAAAATTATACAAATTGAACAATGAACCACTTTTAACAAGACAAAAACATATCCTATTTTTAAAAAAATCTTTATTTCATCTTTGTGAAGCTCATGAGGTAAGAATGTTTACATTTTTTTTATTAATTTATTCTACTATTATATTTAAAATTTTTACATGTGTCTTGAATATATTATTTTTTAGTGTTTAGATTCCAGTAGATCATGGTTGTGTTATTGGAGTCTACATTCTCTTCAAATCCTAGGAGAACGATTAGAATATGATGAGTATTCCAAAATTATTAATTTTTTATCTAAATGCCAGTCACCAGAAGGAGGATTTGGAGGAGGCCCAGGACAACATCCTCATTTAGCTTCTACATATGCAGTAATAAATGCATTATGTACTATTGGTACTCCTGAAGCTTATCAAATAATTGATAGGTACGTACATAAAAGAAATAGATATTGTTATTAAAATTTAAAACATGTTGCTTAAAAAATTTTATTTATATGATTTTATGTATTGATTTTAGAAAAGGACTTAAACAGTTCTTATCATCTCTACATGGAGATGATGGTTCTTTTAGCATACACAAAGATGGAGAAACAGACATAAGAGGAATATATTGTGCTCTTTCTGTAGCAAAACTAACAAATGTATATACTCCAGAAATATTTAAAGGAAGTGAAAGTTGGATAGCTAAATGTCAAACGTGGGAAGGTGGTTTTGGAGGTTCTCCTGGAATGGAAGCTCATGGTGGATATGGATTTTGTGGGTTAGCAGCACTTATGCTTCTTGGAAAACCTCACTTCTGTTCTTTGAAATCATTTCTGGTATTTAATTAATATTGTGAATTTTATAAAACATATACATCAATAGGTCAATTATTTATATATATTTATTTTCAGAGATGGATAGTAAATAAACAAATGCACTTAGAAGGTGGTTTTCAAGGACGCACAAATAAACTTGTAGATGCTTGTTATTCATTTTGGCAAGGTGGAGTTTTTCCACTGATTCATACAATTTTAACTATGGAAAACAAATTATTTAATTCTGCATATTGGTTGTTTAATCAAGAGGCCTTACAAGAATATTTATTAATCTGTTGTCAACATCCTTATGGTAGTCTTGTGGACAAGCCTGGAAAGTATGAAACACTACTATTATTTATCACAAAAATAATTTTATAAATTACTGTATTTATTTCAGAAGTCAAGATGTATATCATACATGTTATGCACTTAGTGGATTATCAATTGCACAAAATTCTCCATGGCCATTAATCATTGGATCACCTAATATAAATTTAGTGAAAATAATTCATCCTTTGTATAATTTGGAAGATTCTTGTGCAGTTAATGCATTGAAATATTTTAATACACTACCGATACCTGACTGAACATATATTTAATGTTCAAAGTACATAGATAGAATAAAAATGCTTTTATTTCATTTTAGCAACCAGTTCAGAGATAAATTTCACTTCACCTCATATAAAAATTGACCAATAAAATGTAAATATAAAATTATTGAATAATAAAACTAATAATTATAAATTATCGAATTAGTGATATGTTAATTTTATGAACCAATGAGAATGATGTGACCTAATGTGTAGTAGATATTTGATGGATATTGAAAAAAACCTAACCTAATACTCTCTCTAGAAATGAAAAAATTCTTTAATACATTCGTTGCCCAGCGTGAATCGGTGGAGTGACGCAAGAAAAAATATAAAAAAAACTACAACGTATTGTCCCAATTGTCCAAAATCACTTCAAATATGTTTGAACTGTTTTAGCGAATACAATGTTATGTTTTATTTTAAATATAAATTTATATATAGTGTATGTATATTTTTAATTTTTTTATTTTACTTTATTTTATATATTTTTTGTATTTTATATTTGCATGTGGTAATTCAATTAAATACTTGACTACTCTACTCTGACTGGACAAAAAATAAGTTAAACATTTACGAGTGATGTGGGTAATGTGGCAACGAACGTGTTAAAATTTGTTTAATACTCCATTATGATATCACTCTTTGTATCAAAAATTCGATGTGTAAATAAATAATCTGTAATACGCACACACATGCACGCTCGCGCGCGCGTACATATGTATATAGGAAAATATATGTATGGTGTGGCTTGAAATGGTGTAACACGAGTGCAAAATGTGTAAAGAATAAATTTGTATAAAGGAACCGCCATAAAATTTAAAAAACAATAGTATTACTATTTGAATATCACAGAAAACGAATTTTGTTTAGAATAAATATTATCCTAAAGATAAATTGTGAAGAGAAGTATATCGAAAGTTATTTTAAAAACTATTTTGAACCAGAAGAAATAGGTTATGGCAAAACACTTAATAAAATTAATTATAATGGGAACACAAGTCGTTACTAAAGCATTTGCACGAGCATTGCGTCAAGAACTTGCAGCAAGTCAAGCAGCTGCACAGAAACTAGGTGGTGGAAAAAGAGGTACTGAACATGTTGCAGCTAATTATAAGACTGGTATTACTTTAGAAGAAGCATTACAAATTTTAAATGTTGAACGAGTGGATCAATTAGAAGCTATTGAACGTAATTATAAATACTTGATGGAAGTTAATGATAAATCAAAGGGTGGTTCTTTTTATATACAGTCAAAAATTGTACGTGCTAAAGAACGTATTGATGAAGAGTTGAAGAATATTAAAGTTCCTCCTCAGAATACAAATTCCATGTGACAAAATATTTTAAAACAATTTTAATGCAATTCTGTATAGTCTGAATGTAATTGATATGCCTCTAAAATCTGTATATACGCATGTAATAATATTTTAAACATAAATAAATAATATAGAACATCCAATCAACAAAATAAGCATATTTATATTTTAATATTATGTAAAATATTGAAATAGAAGAAAATATTATTTAAAATGTGACGTCTATTTTTTGCAAATCAAGATATTTGTATAATCTTATTAATTAAAATAGTAGGTAGAAAATAAAAAACCTTATTCATTCTTATGTATATCTGTGTATATATAAATATATAAATATGTATATGTATGTGTATGTAAATATATGTACATAAGAGACATACAGATTTATATGACAGTCTTTTGATATAAGTACTCGCTCTTATACGAGTCCTTTTAGGTACATAATACTTAAAACTCAGTATGCCAAACCAGCTACCTTTGCATCCTCTGGTTCAATTGTATTTTGTAAGTGACGAATAGTTAATCTATCTTGATTATGACGAACAGACCATAGATTTGGTAGATATTTTGGCTTCATAGTTAAAAGAAAATGCTCCCTCCACATGCGCTCCAGTTCTACTAATCCTCCTTCTCTTTTTTGAAAATTGTGAACCACCTAAAACATGAAATTTATTAATAAAATTAAATCTTTTTGTAGATATGTAGTATTTATCTTTCACTAATAGTACCTTTAAACCATGAGGTTGATATTTAGATTGATCATAATTAGGTACTGATATAACATTTTTCAATTCCTTGTTTAACAAATCAAGTAAAATTGGTGTGACTTGTTGCTTGCTTGTACATTCCAAGATATAATGTTCTAACTCTTTACGTCGTGCATCAGGTAAAGTAGTTCTTTCTCTTAAAGCTTTAACAGCTGAATGTAATTTCCTCCAATTATTTACATATTTATTACGTACATGTGTTAATGGACCAGCTAAAGGTGCATCACACATATCTGCTAGCTTTCTTCTGAGCTGCAGATCATGACAATTACTTATTTCGTGACAGGATGGACATAATAATAATATATCATGAGATTGATGAGCTTTCATAACCACTACAAAAATTAGCATTGTATTAATAACTTACTTTATTATATGCATATTAAATTATTTTATTTTAAGCGTATACTTACACGGAAAATATTTACGATATTCTCGAGGTACAACATTTTTTCTAATAAATTTATCTGAAGTACCACAAACTACACACTGGTTAATTTTAATTTGTGTATAATATTGTCCCACCTCTCCCAAAGCTCGTCCAGAAGGTTCAAACTTCAACCTCACAGTAAATGGTTCTTTCTCAATTACATCTCCCAATTCTTTTGTAACATACCATTCTGCCTTCTTACGGTCACATGTACACAATATTTCTCCATCTGGAGCTTGTAAATAACAATTGTGATATAATGGTTTATTCCTTGTAGGTATATTACTTTTATGTGTAATATTATTGTTTGTTTTTAAATCTCTGGTAATCTTATCAAAATAATTATTTTTAATATTTTTTTGATTAACAGTTATGTGTTCTTGGTGAACCTTGAACCTACAATACAAGATATAAGAATGACTTTCTGTATACTATATACAGAATATAATATAGTAACAATTCAAAAATAAACTCTTTTCAATGTACTAAACATCTTATTACCTTGTATCAATTACATCATTAGGTAAACAATGAAATTGCATATTTATGCTTTTATTACATAAACTTTTTATATAATTTATCAAATTTTCCCACAAAGAATATTTTTCTTTCATCTTCTGCATGATCTGGAATAAACAATTTACTGGTACATTTAATGTTTTTTATATTAAATAATTACAAATGTAATGTAAACTATTTTTTACTTGGTCATAAATAAGAACAGACACAATTGCATCGCAAGCAGCATATGCTACTTGTTCGTCAGTAAGAGTGACAGCATTCCAATTGCTACACCTTACTTCAATTAGTTTATCCATTTCCAAACCCAAATATTGTAAACTCATAGCAGCTAAACTTTTTGGACTTGGTAAATTCACATGTTCTGCTAATGTCCTTAAATCAAGTGTACTGCAAACCCTACACCCATAATCTGCTATTATCTTTTGCCCATCTTCATATGAAGCAACTCCAACTTTAAGGATATGTTTACTAGTTAGTAATTCCTAAACAGAAAGAATTTGTTATATTATTTATATCAATATTTATGTATATATTGATTCAACTTATAAGATATGTACTTTTAATTTTTGTGGAATGTATCCAATTTTACCAATGCGGAATAGGCCACATACTCCATTAAATGTTGCAAGTTGAAGTAAAGAAACAGGTCCTCCATTAATCCATTCACAATCAAAACCCAATACATCATTAGATAAGTTGCTTTAACATAAAACATATTTGCTTTAAAATAAATAAATAATAATAGTGAAAATTTATAGAGATAATTTATTAGATAAACAAAGAAAGGTTGCTAAAAATTGCCTGCTATATTGTTAGGTGTATTTTGTAATTTAAAAACTTTAAAAGTTCTATCATATATTTAAATTGTACATTATATTAGTATATATATAAATCGCATATTATATTATACTATGTTAGATTTAAATCATTATTATCAAAAAAGGCATATATAATTAAAATATATATGCTAATATACTCTGCACTCAATAAATTAAAGAAATTTCTTAAATTGTACAGTAATTAATTGAAAAAAACATATATTAAGATAACTAATGTCCTAAAAGTCTATAGTTAGACATACAGCAACAAAAAAATGTAAACATAGCAGTATTGTGTATTTGGTATAAATAGCACTTAGAATATATAACGTAATATTAAAATAAAAATAATTAAAATAACTTACCAGCGAATACGCTGAACGGCGTAATCACATTTCTCAGGAGTATCAGCCAAAATAATTTTATCCAATGTAATTTTAAGATCCTTTTTCTTATCGTCACTTTGTTTACCATTTTTACTCTTTATATATTGACAGAGATGTTTAACACTTTGAAAAACATTTCTGCGATATTTGGAGGCCAAGAGTACTAGGCCCACAGTTACACACACAAGGAACATGTTGCTTTTTACAGGACGCATTAATTGTAAAGATAGATTTTTATATTTGATAGTATTGAAAATAAAAATTTGTATATACAATTTACTATTCCTTTTTTATGTATACTTAAGTATACGTGTACATATAGATATATATACATATATATATTTATGCATACATACATATATATATATATATACATATTCTGTTTCTTTCACTCTCGCTCTCGCTCTTTCACAAACACATACACACGTTTATATATGCACATATAAATATATGTATATATGCGTACGTATACATATATTTTTTTATTTAAGATATAAATATTTACATTGATAATTCACAATTAAATATATTAAATAAATATGTCAATTAAATTTATCTACACGTTGAACTATAAGGATTCTAAATTGACTGATCATGACAACCGGTACTTGTGGAGTAATAAGTATAAACAGTTCCACGAAATGAATGTTTGAATTATTAAATTATACAAAATATTTAAGTAATCACGCAAAAGGTACATCACGATTTCAATTAAGAAAAATAAGTTAATAACCAGACGAGGTTCAAGACACTCTGTAGCTACCACAGAAACGGTTCAAGTACACGACTATGAATATTACACATAACTACGATTATTGTAACGTTATCTTCCTTGTTTATATTTCGCTAGAACGTTCTTTGAGCTGATTGGTTGATGCAATTTTTTCTACAATTTTTACAATAAATTCTATGTATTGTATTAACATTGTTTATTATTATTGTTTGTTATGTAGGCTATAAACCAAATTATATTTTGTACAAATGACATCATACATTTATTAAAATTTTATATATTCTTAAATTTCAAATAAATAATTTAAAAAAATTTGGTAAACGTAAATTTATTACATATAGATAAAATGTTATAATAAAATATTACTCTGTAAACAAATATAATATTTACTCAAAATTATATGATGATATTATAACTATTCTCTAAGTTTGATTTGAAACAAGATTATAAAATATAATCATACCATTTTATTTGTATACAATTTATAAGAATATTAATGGCACATAAAGTAAGTATACATGTGAGATAGTTGAACATGTATTCTTTGCATAGGTAGAAAACTATAATTATGTGTACATATAAGCACATGAAATAGTATAGAAAAAAATTAAGTATGGCGTTAATCCTATCAGCTGATATCGTCTGCTGGAATGACGAGTCGTAGTTATTAATAGTTACACAGTACTTTTAAACATCTTAAAAATACGCCTTTAGTGTATGACTACCCTTATAAACTAGTAAATTTACAATAATCCGGAGTTGTTATTTTAATAACGCAATGATTGTTTTAAACTTAGTATTGGTGAAAATACTTGTTAAACACGAGTTCGATCGTTCGCGTCATTGACAGGTGGGATAAGAATATGGGGAAATAGATAGTATTATTTGTGTGGACGATTTTTTAAGCGATTAAATAGTAAAAGAATCTGCCAAATAACTAGCAGATTCAGTTGTAATGAGCGACTCCGAACAACGGCAATTACACGTGCCGTATCGAGAATATCATAGCCAGAATAATACTAATACTTCTACCTTGGTAGAAACTGATGCACTAGTAGATCTTTCAATTACACCCAATAGTTGTTTACCGGCGAATGAGTGTTCAGAACTAATACCAGACATTGAATTTGTTCCCAATCTGAGCAACGAACAAACCATAGCCATTGATTCCCCTGGAATTGACCGGGAGAGCCAGCCTCTCCTTGGTCGGTTAGAGCTTGATGTCACTTTCAATCGTTTTCCTGGTTTGTTATTATCTGTTCTATTGATAGATTGAAAATTTAACATATTTTTAACCATATAAATCATGCATTATATTTTGATATTTTATAGATGACCCACAGTTTTCTGAATTAATATGGCAAGCTGAATTGGCAATAGATAATGGAATCTTTCCAGAAAGAATATATCAAGGTTCTAGTGGCAGTTACTTTGTAAAAAATCACACAAGGGTAAGGTAAACTTTATTTTATATTAAAAAATTCAAATCTACTTAGCAAAATAGAATTATAATTCTATAACAGTAACAGAATGCTTTATTTTATAGAAAATAATAGGTGTTTTTAAGCCAAAAGATGAAGAACCTTATGGGAGATTAAATCCAAAATGGACAAAGTGGATGCACAAGCTTTGTTGTCCTTGTTGTTTTGGAAGAAGTTGTTTAATTCCAAATCAGGGATATCTCAGCGAGGCAGGTGCAAGTTTAGTTGACCGTAAATTAGGTCTGGGTATAGTTCCAAACACAAGAGTAGTTAAACTTGTCAGTAAAACATTTAACTACCCACGATTAGACCGTCAAAAAGCTCGTATGAAGCAAGCTATTATGGACCAGTTTCCAACAGTAGGCTCACATTTCAATCGTATTGGTTTACCACCAAAAGTTGGTTCTTTTCAAGTTTTTGTAGATGGTTACAAAGATGCTGATTACTGGTTGAGGCGGTGGGAAAATGAGTCCCTGTCACCTCATCTTAGTAGAGAATTTCAACTTCAATTTGAACGCTTAGTTATTTTGGACTACATAATAAGAAATACTGACAGAGGTATTTAACAATTCATAAAATTTTTCAGTATTCATATAAAGAGTCAAATCATTAAGTATACACTATAATATGTCAATATTTTTCTAAAGGTAATGATAATTGGTTAATTAAATATGATAACAATAAGGGAAAAAACGGAACGGAACAGGGTGAAGTAAAAATAGCTGCTATAGATAATGGTTTAGCCTTTCCTTTTAAACATCCTGATTCTTGGCGTGCTTATCCTTATCATTGGGCTTGGTTAAGCCAAGCAAAACAACCATTTAGTGATGTAACACGAGAACTTGTATTACCGCAACTCTCGGATCAAAATTTTGTACAAGATCTTTGTGATGATTTATACCAATTATTTAAAGTAAGTTATATAAAATGATAATTACTTTACATCAATGTCGGTGTTATTTTGTAAGTAAATTTTGAAAAAAAAAAAAAAAAAAAAATTTATTTTTATAGCAAGACAAAGGTTTCGATCGACATCATTTTGATAAACAAATGAGCGTAATGCGTGGTCAGATCTTGAACTTGCAACAAGCTTTAAAGGATGCTAAGAGCCCCGTGCAATTGGTTCAAATGCCTGCTGTGATTGTTGAGAAGTATTTATTTATATTTATGTATTTTTAACAAATTAGAAGTATATGCAATCCACCACATAAAATGTGATTTTATCAATACTATTTTACAGGGCCAAAGGAAATGGAGCACCAAGACTATTTTCATTCTCTGATACATTTACACAGCGCTTCCAGAATAAAAGTCCTTTCTTCTCTTGGTGTTAAAAGAGATTCTTCTTGGTGAATACTTGAAAAACGGCATTAGCTCTGTGTGTTAACTGAAAAGAACTGCTCGGTGCATCACAGATATTGCATCTTATTATTTGTCCTATCCTTCTTAATTTTATTACGCATTACTACCTCTCTTTTTCAGTACTAATTTCTACAATCTGCGTAGATTCATCGATAATTACATTTAATTTATCTTATGTCTATACCATTTTTTTTAATTCGATTATATTAACTCGAATCATAGTATGATTATATTGTATACAGTAAATATATGTAATGTTAAAACAATATTTTTCGATATGCTTCGTATAATTGAAATGTGAGAAAAATGATAAACGAATGTAGGCAGTGTTTTATGACTATGCAAATGATAACCCTTTAAAATGAAACGTGAACAGTCTCACGTAATCACATTGTATATCTTCTGTCTTCCATGTACCATCGTCTTAAAAACATCGATTTACACATATTTTCGCTAGATACTGTTGAAAAGGAAAATTTGTCTAATCTTAAAAATTAACTGTGATCTAAAATAGTAAAAGAACATATTTTTATTGTTTAAAATAAACATTCTACGTATTGATATTATATTTTTAACCGATGCGTATGAGGAAATAAAATTTCTATTAGTAGCTAAGACAAAAATTTCTATTACAGTTATTGTTAGTAAATAATTTCGGTCTATATCTAAATCTCTACAAATATTTTTTTGTTTTTATCTCAATACATATTTACAATTATTTAAATGTACGATCGATTATTGATATAATCGATTTTATAATCGGTTTTATTTTGTTTCCATTTAAACAACATTGAGTTAATACTAACTTCGAAGTATGGCTCGTTAAATTGCACGTTTCGTTGAAGTTACAAAATGTAATGTAAAGGTTGACGGTTGCAACTACAATCTTTTCATTTTATATCATTGTATTTTATATATTATAAATCTTTCGGGAATCAAGATTTACCAATAACAAACGGGTATTTTTATTTCGTTTATTTAAAAAGGAAAGTTTCAAATTGGTATCATTATATTAATAATTTATAAATATATTATATTATTAATTGCTAACATTAATATTAATAATACAAAGTACAAAATGGAAGTATTGGAGATTAGTAAAAAGAAGCAACTTGGATTACCACGGCAGAAATCATTAGAATGTCCTTGTAATATCAAAGTAACGAATCTATCAATTTTTCGATTATGAATTTTTACTAGTAAAACTAGTGATTGTGATCATTGTTATTATATCATTAATATTATACGTAATTAGTGTACGAGAAGATATGTACAACCACAACGAACAAAGTCATTCGCTCCTGTGAAAACGTTTAATCCACCTTCAAAATTGTTCGAAACTAATACCACATATCACTTATCGTATTTAAACGTGGATCGTGCAGAAATACGGCGCAGTCGATCTCAACCTATCCGACCCATACCTGCTCTTATCAAATCTGATGCTCGATTTTCCGGTGAGACGACTAATCAATTGAGTTACAAACTTATGGGAAATATTCCTAAAACAAAACCTATTATACCAAAACAAAGGTAACAAATTTATCGAATCAAATCAGATAAGAAACTTGTCAGTTATCATTTTCTTCATTCTTTCTCATGTATTAGATCAATGATGGGATCTGGTCAAATGGATTCTGTTACCACGGTTCGTCATGATTATCCACGCAAATACATAGAAAAACCAGAAATTATAATACCTTGTGGGAATATTCGTTTAAGTACCGGTAAACTCGATGCCAGTACTACAGCAAAACTTTCTTACACAGATCCTGGTTTTACGAAACCGACAATTAATTTTAAACCGATAACAGTTTATTATCCACCCAGTGAACCAATTTTTCACGATACTACACACAAATTAAGTTACCAGCCTGTCTGTATGGAAAAAAGAGAAACGTGCTCGTGGCAGCAGAAACAAAGTTACAAGTATATCTTATATTTAAATAAGTAGTGTCTATTTGTACGTTTACTTCGAACAGTCAAATCGATCTTTAAGATGCTTTTATGAAAATTTTTATAGGCCTCCAGATATTGCGATGTGCGGAAAAACAACATATTCCGAAAGTTTCTTGAAAAACGAAAAACTACGCACGGAAAAACCTGTACGACCGGTTCTTGCCAATGTGTTCCCTTGCGGTGGTGAATTCCACGGAAATACTATTTACAAAGAAAGTTACTTACAATCAATCGACGTAGAACGCGTTGAACCATTTATCCCTTGCAATGCTATCTCAAAACCAGATGGCAAAATATCGGCAGACACAACGAGCAAAGTACACGCGTTTATTTAATATTCCCACCATTTACTAATAACTGCTCTTTTCACTTATTGATCCATCTTCTTTTTTTTTTAAATTCTAGTTAAGTTACCAACCGGTCCAGAGCGAGAAACGTTCCCCGATATTACCTCGAAGCAGAACCATGATAGGCGATGGTCCGATGCAATCTGCAACTACTAATCGTTGCGATTTCGTGCAGAAAGTAACGCTACGACCCGATATCGTTATTCCGTGCAATAATCTTCAAAGCTCTAATACACCTATCGACGATAGAACTACGACGAAACTATCTTACACGAAACCAGGCCCAGTAGAATGGGTTCAAAGTTTTAAACCTGTCGCGCATTATTGCAGGTAGATTAGGGACATCTTTCACTAATCATCTATCTATTCCAGTATATTGCGCAACAATCCTTTAAACAAACGAACACGTTTTCTACATATTTCTTAGATTATCGGAGAAAATTGAGTACGATACAGTAAACAAGTTATCTTATCAACCTTGGACTCCAATTCCTAAGGAACATATACCTTGGGCATCTAAAGGCAAATATCAACCACCTACTAATCCTATGTGTGCTGATACTATTTACCAAGTTAGTTTTCCTGCACCTGGACATTACGAAGATACTTGTGTGGATACAAATTGTAATTGCTTGCACGCCAACCATGACAATCCTTCGACACAGATAGGGACCGTGAATGATGAAAATAATTACAATCTTTTGAAACAAGAAATTTTTGTATAACTTCCTAATTTTTCCACAAACAAATGTTATTTCTATGCTGTATTATAACAAACATTTGTAGGATAGATATTTAAATAACAAAATGTAAACGAGAACAATTTAGAAATCGAATTAAAAGCTATTTTATTCAGTATGTGAATTCGGTTCGAGCATATCATATTTTACATTTATGTAATCATTGTGCCGATGAATAAGAATAATAATAATATATCTTCTACAAATGGTAAAATTGTTCTCAATAATAAAATAAACTCTAGTTTTTGATAAAAGATAATAGCGATAAAATAGATTTGATAATAGATATTAATGTACACCATTTAGAAGTGTAGTTTACTTTACATTCATTTATACTTACATAAGTACGTACGTGCACGCATATACATGTTTAAATACATGCATGTACATATACATACATAGATATATACGTACATGGATTTATACGTGTGTGGTGTATGTCTTTATACATACATACATATGTATATATAAAAGCGCGCACACACATGTATATATGTATATATATATATTTATTTGTTTATTTATCTATTTATTTATTTATATATTTATATTATATATAGTAAATATGAGATGACATACTAGCGTATATCGCTTTATATACGCACAACAATTGATACTTTTCAGTAGAGTACATAAATTTCAGGGGAGGGAACAATGATTAAAAAATAAATGATTATGTATTTTAACCAACAATAAAAACTTAGGCGTAAAAATCTACGAGATTTACCAAAAATGTGATTTCGGTAAATGGAAAATATATTTTATTCGTTGTGTTAAGATTATTACGAATTAGAAAGAGACGTTCGATTTTGATATTTCAAAAATTTTTAAACAAATAACATCTCAACGTAACAAAGATTTAAATAGTAAGAAACACGGTTTCTTTATCAATGAGTCGAGCACAATGATTTAAGGACAAATTTTTTTACTAAAAATGCATGCAACTTTTCTTAAGATTTTTCAAAAAATATAACGAGTATAAATTTGAAGGTCGTAAGGCACATATTTAGGTCACGCGAATTACGTATTACACACATATTATGTTAGCGTTACACAAATTTCGTTTCTCATTTCGGTACGCTACTTTTCTCATTGCTAAATAAAAGTCCTCGTTGTTTATAAATTCACTATTTACATGACTGATCGTGAAAATGATTGTCTGTAATAATTTGTAATTTGATCTACATATTATCATAGCGAGTTAACATTCTATTGTCAGTTAACATTTAAATTTGATCGATACTTATTATCATTTTCTGAATAACTAAAAAATTTATATAGTTTGTACGTTACATACCATTCTTGGCAGGCGCTTAAACAAGAAGCATGTTGTATTTGTTAAATAAGTACCGTTATTTTGTAAAAAATGAATCATTTAAAATTATATACTGTATAACGATCGAAATTAACATACTGTATACTTTTTATATTTGCATTTAAATGTACGCCCTTAACGCATCATTGAATATATTAGAATGCACATTTTTCGTTATATTTCGTATTAGATACACTTTGTTCATGAATAAAACCTAGCTAATAAAATGAGTCAAGTTTCTCCTACAATATGTCTCAAATATTTTTAATTGTTCAACTTCATTTAACTGAACACGTACGAAATATTAAACCAAGTATTACTGTTATGTAATAAGTACTTAGTGAAAACAGAAAATTAAGATTGTAAAGCGACATATATAGTGCTTACTGTACACGGTATACCTACATATAGGTAATAGCAACTCAACAAGATTACTATATAGTTATTGATTTTGATCATTTGCTTATAATATAGCTACATGACAATAGTTTTTAAATATATTGCACTTACAGGATGAAAATGAAAGATATGCCACGTTTTCTTAGAGTCAATGGTAACCCAATTAATAGCTAAACAAGATAATATACTGAAAACCGTAAAAACATTTTTACATCCCTCCCCTATAAAACAACAACAACGACGGATTATATCCGTTAAATGATGTACAATTAAAAAGATGATCAAGATGAGAAAGGGGGGCGCATAATCGATACATTGATACAGGAAATATATCGCGCCTGACATACCTATTGTGGTTTAGTGTATGATTGTATGAACTCGGAGAAGCTAAAGTGATCCAAGTTGAGATTTTCGTCGATCGAGGGCAGCTCACCATGACTCATCAGCTCCACATAGTCCATGTCCGGATTTGTTCGCCCAACGCTTGACTGGCCAAGGCCCGGAGCATAGCTACCACAAACCAAAACACAACCCCAATCACTGGCATAGTAATGAATAATAGACTTGTACAAAATTCAAATACATTGTGTATGATACGAAATTAATTCGGTCCAACTTTTTTTTCCTAATTTCATATTTCAAAACATTTGATTTTCTGCTCGAATAGTCGAGAATGTTTACTCGTCTGTTTCGTCAAAACGTGTGACCGATTAGCCGGATAGCCGGTACAACACGGCAAGGGAAGTACAAACCACAAAAAATCCCCAATGTAATTGAAATTGATCGGTCACTTAATAGTTATCTTTGATGGTTTTAGTCTATTACAGTTACACTTATTGTATGACTTAATTCAGACGAATTTTCGAAAAAATTGCAGGGCCTTTGTTTCGTAATAATCTTGTAGTAATGATTGAATACACTCGACTGCCAGTACTAGAACTGTAACAATAATGCATTGTGATTGGAGTTGCGTTTTTTTCAGGAGTAGTAACTAAGTATTTAATTTTCCGTTGTTGTGGTTGTACCGGCTTGCTCCAGGCCCATGCCTTTGATTTTTTTTTTTTTTTTTTTTTTTTTTTTGGAATTTCATATTACGTGTTATAATACTATTATATATGTGTAGATTTTTAATATCTTACTCTTTCATAAGGATTTATATATATACACACACACGCGCGCGCACGTATGCATTGCATACGTACATACAATATGCGTTTACATACACATTCGTGTATGTATGAATACATATTTATACACATAGTATACTATCGATCATACAATAACTGTCGACTTTTATTTGCCTTTTAATGCCATGGATAAGCCGTTTCTCTTAGTAAGAAAAAAACGGACGCGCAAGAAAGAAAATAAAGAGAGAAAAAAACAGAATTTATAAAATATAGCAGTCTGAGAAGAATGCATGTATTATTATTCACACAACCCGCTTTTTCTTTATGTTCATCATTAGTGCTACAAATTACGTATTATAACTTATGAAAGAGATAGAGAAAAAAGAGTAAAAAAATTAAAATAATATCAACGACTAAATTATTTTATACTTTCAAAGGTTTGCCAATCATCTACTTATCCGTTGGACGGATTTCTTTGTGATTTGCTTTTTAAGCAATTTTATAAATTTGAAACATTAACTATTCTATATTACAAAGTATCGCGCATTTAGAATTAATATAAAACACGCCATTTATCAAACATTTCATTTAGAACACATTTATGTTCCCTTCAAATCGTATAAAATTTTTCTATGGAGGACTTTCAAAATTTAATAATGGCATTATTTAATTAGTGCGTAATAATAGAACTTCACAATAATGCCACTTAATTCTAAATATAGGCTTATTGATAAAAAGTTATAATATCGGCATAGAGTATTGGATGACATGAAGACTAATTCAAAACAAAATTTAAAAAGAAAAAATTAAACAATGTCAAAAGATTAGTTATTTTACAAATATAGTTATATATGATAAAGTATACATTTTATCAAAATTTTCTTTATGCATCCAATATTCTTCAACATACAGTTTGTTTAATTACGAATAAAATTGTTTGATATGGCTTAACATTACTTATACTTTCATTTTACAATACAGTAATAATATAAAAATTGCAAAATTTCATAAAAAATGTTTACAATATGTGAAGCTACAGTGTCACTGTAAACTATAGTATTAACTAAACGTTCGCAAAAAGAAAACATAAAAAAACAATACTGACATTCATCTGCACAAATAGAGTATAAAAGACATGCAAAGTGTTATCAACTGTAGCAATGTTTCGTTTCCACTTTTTTACGAATTTATTATTAATCTATTTTTACTGACTAAACTTTAAATACCCAAACATTATATCCACTCAATATGTTATTGGTAAATATTACACATGACAGTCAAATAATGTTGATTCATATAAAATAATTACTGGAAACGATATGTTATGAATTTAAAAATTCAAACATACGAACATTACACGAAAGTCAAAAGGAATCTTTGCATATCTTGTATTAAATTTTCTATGGCAGCTCATATTAATAAAAAAAAAAAAAGGTGAATGATATGATTGATATTTTAGATCCAGGAGACTGACCTGGAAGCCACTGATGGAGTATCACGTGTTACAGATGGATCAGGACTGTGCGCTTGAAACATTGTGGATGGTGTTGCAGGATAACTACCACCGGGACCACTTTGACCACTACTTCCTACCCCAACTACGGAAGAGTGCGACGGTGTCTGACCACCGACTCCAGGACCACCCCAACCAGGTACATGCGTTACCAACAACGGTTTCACATATCCATTCGTCGATGTAGTTTGATTTTCTATGATGAAATATATTTCAAAAAATTTCAATTGTTGAAATTATCATAAGAAATTTCGACAATTTTGATTCAAAGTATTATATGAAAATGCGTAAATAACAAACAACAATAAAGTGTATTTACCTGTAAATGGCGTGTAATATTTAGAAAATGCTTGATCTTTTGATAAGTCTGGATAAAGATAAAGTAGGTGTTGTAAATCGAATACCCGGTCTGCTAAACTACGAATTGCGAAATCTTTGCTTGTGAAAGGTTGTAACATAAAAACTTCTGTCTGATCTATAAATCGTTTAATATCAAACAGTTCAATATCGATCAAATACGAAGAAAAATAATAAATTTAGTATACAATAATGAAGTTAAACATTTACCTCCAACCCAAGCGATAGTAACACCACCAAGTTCAGAATCTGAAAAACGCATTAGGAAAGTTCCTGATGCACAACTTGCTAACATTTCTTCTGCTTGCTTCTTTCTTACGAACCCTAGTATATAACCATCAATCCATGGACCTCTTAAATGCTCTCTAGTTAATTTCATCACAGCATAAAACCATTCCCAAAATGTAAAATTTCTTTCTGATAATGGTTCTTTGCAAAACTGTGCCCAACTCAAAAGTAAACTAGAATAGTCTTGTCCACTTGCATTTCCACTACGAAATGCTTTTTCCGCAAGAAATCGCAAATTATCTTCCGTTAATAAACGACCTGTTGCAGATCTAAATTTAACATTTAATGCTTCAGCTACTTGACCCCACGGAACTTTATCAGGTACTGCAAATGGTACCCTTCCTGGTTCAGCAAATGCATTATCCCATGTAACTGTAGCCCATGCATGAGGTTCTTGATTTCCATGCACAATTACTACAACTGGTAAACTTAGAGTCCAAACCTGGAATACCAATTCACCTCCTCCAACGCTAAATTGTGATTGAAAGAGGAGTGAAAATTTTTCATCCATCACAGATTCTGTTCCTTTCTTTTCTGCTCTTTTGATTTTTTTCAGCTGCATATTACGGAAACTTACAGAGAGTTGCCTTGTTGCCTAGGAAGTAAAATCATACTAGTTACATTTGCTTTTCTAGCAATATTACGAATTATGTTAGTTTCGATTGTTACTCTTTTTTTCTTACTTGATGATACTCCATTGTTCCTGTATTATTTAAAATTTCACCGCTAGCTTCCCCATTTTTTGCCATTTTATCACTTTTTAATAAAGCATTTGCTTGAGCTTCGCTAATAATGCTCACCTTTACGTGAGGTGGATTCATATGAACGTTTAATTTTCCACCAACAAGTAAGCGTACCGTACTTGTAAAACGAGTATTAGTTTTCATAACTTGTGGTGGTTGTTTTTCTATGATAAATGTACTTGTAACTAATGAACTGAGGAGCTGCGTAATTTGAGAGTTTAAGGTAGGAAGAATATCTTGCATTCCTGGTGGTTCAAGTGCAAATTTTTGTTTTAAACGTTCTGCTTCTTTAATTTGTTGACGATTAAGCCAAATTAATTCAGCTAAACTTTCACACCATTCTTGAATAGAGTCTAAATTACTATTAAATGGTGCACCATTCCCTGCCAATTGCTGATCTCTTTTCCATCTGAAATATTAGTTTAAATTCAAAATTCATGTGAAACTATTATTATATATTGAAAGAGAAAAAGGGAAAGGAGAAATGAAAGGCAGGGAAGCAGGAGCACAATTTATTGAACAAACTTTACCTAATAAGTTCATCATCTAAGACTCTTGATTGCAAACCATTTAATCTGGTAATAGTATCTTTCAGTTTGTCAGCTAATGTCAATCGTAATTGCATTAAACCTGCTACTTTATGGTTTAGTAATTGTTCTTGCTGTTCCTTTTGCCTACAGTAACATTATTTTCATTTCTTAAATGATTACAAGGAATTAAATATTTAGTTAAAATTGTATTACCTTCTAATTTTTTTCTCCATATCCAAATTTTGTTGATTTTGTGGCTGCGTTGCAAGATGCTGAAGATGAGCATTTAATTTAGTACACTCATGATAACTAAGAGCAAATGCTTCTTGTTCTTGCTCCATTTTTCGTAAATCTTCTCCAGTTTCTTGGGTTCTACGTCTCAGAGACTCAACATGTTGGGCTATTTCAGCAACAGCATCACTAATTAACCCTACTTTTCCTCCTGCCATAGTCATTAAAGCACCTCCCAAATTCTCTACTTGAGCTACTAATTTCATTTCTATTCCTAAACAGTGTCTAATTATTCTAAATAATGCTGCAGGATTATGTGCATATTTCTGCTACAATAAAAAAAAGGTAAATATAAATATATTATAATATGTTTTAAGCCAATTATTAACATTTTATTGTAAACCTTACACGAAAATTTTTTGCAGCTTCCATTAATTTTAGTTTTGTTAAAAACATGTCATCTGTATTTAAAGAAGCTGCTTTAGTTTCTAATTCCTGTATTAGAGATCTAACAAGTGTAGCTATGTATTGTTCATATTGTGGGTTATCAGGTTCGACATCAGTCCTATAAAAATATTACTCTAAACAATTTGTACATGCTAATTCAAATATACACTAAGTTATAAGCACCATTAACTTACCAGATCTTTTCTTCTATCCAAGAAGATAAAAAATGTCGTACCTCTATCGGAAAGTGTTCTCCATAAACTGAACGTACTTCTTGCAATGCTTCTTGTGGTAATTGCTGTGCTTTTGCCCACAGTGACATTTTGATTTTAACTATGAATCCTTTACCTTAAACACATTTCTTTGAGATATTGTTGTTTTACATTGATTTATATTAATGCTCTCATTAAGAATGTCAAAGATATTCAAATTAGAAAATAATATAACCACAAATTAATAAAATACTAAAAATTTATTTGCCTCGTTTGTATCCAATAAGTAATTATGCAAAGATATTTTCGTTAGAAAATTTTACTAATTTCTTACAAAATATAAAAAGTTGATCAAATAAAGTACTTGATATCACTTGCTATCAACCACGCATAATTTTAAAATGGATACGTATATACTTCCGAACCTCAAGTAAGAATTACAGATATTTAATACTATTTTGAAAGGTATGGGATAAATTGAATAAATTTAATAAAATAAATGTACTAATTGTTCGATTTTTTAATTAAAATCAACACAAGAAATATAATATAAAAATATAGAAATAAGAGATCGTGACGTATTGCAATAACACGTAAATAGATAAGCAGGAGGGGCAAAGGAAAAAGAGTTTGGTTTAAGTATTGGTTGCACTCACCTGCTGCTAGTCCGAGGACAAAAGCAACTAGGATTTGTGCTGTATAATTTTGTTACCTATTTTTTCTATTTGTTTCAATCTGTTGAAGAAGTAACTTTTGGATCGATTAAACTCAATCTACCGCGCAATAATCGTAAACGTAATGATTGCGGGGACCGGTCACACGCGCGAATCGCATCAATAACTCTCCCCCTTCCTTGTTACTCACACAGCGCGGATGAGGACGGAGTGTCGCGAACAAGGAATTCCGAGAATTTCTTACCGTAAATGGCGCGACATAAAGAGGAAAGGGTATATCACGTGATCAAACACCAACTACGCATGCGTAAAATCACAATTTCCCCAAGAACGTGATAAGTTGACAATTATTTCTTCAGTAATAATAATTGTTGTTGTTAAATTCGCTTGTTTATTTTAATTGTTTAGTTTTTTTCTTCATTTATATACAACTACTATAATTTACAATTGACAAGTAATAAATTGGGGAAGGGAAGACAGGGTATAAAGATAGAAAATTTACGTATTAAAATGTACAATTATTTGCCCTTCATACTCAATACATTAAGCGCACAAAAAATACTTTCTCGGATGTTTGTAATATTCTATTAAATCTATAAATTGTATAGAAATACTGTATAAATATAAATACCTTTATCTTAAAATGACTTTATCGTTTGAAGAATAACAGGTGGAAATACAAGAAATGCAGCACCAACAAGATATGTTGCCTTACTGCCAATACACCAAAATGCTAAAATAAAAATTTTTATTTCAATGTAAGTTATCTAATTAAATAATTCTAAATTTTATCTTTACCTGAGGATGCTACAATAGGTCCACAAGCTCGAGCTAATGCTCCAAGAGAACGAAAGACACCTGTAATAGTACCTTTCTGATGATTAGGTCCAACACGTGTCACAAGAGTCATCATACAAGTAACAACCATGGCTGTAGCTATGATATATAAAAAAATATAAAGTTCTTTATTTTGATCAAATATGGATATTTGGTAGATATTCATTATATTTTATATAGAAATATTTATTTTATAATATACTTACAAATTGCAAACAGAAATAATCCAATTGATAATGTAAATATATCATCTGCTAAACCTACACAAATAAATGCTGGAATGGTCAACCATAAACCCTAAAATATTTATATAATTTAACCAAACTAAAATTAATAAGAGCAAAAATTTTTATTTGAAATTTTCAAAATATTTACCAATCCTGCAACAGATTTTGTTTTATTGGATGGAATTATTCGTACCCAACTTCCTTGCAGAATTGCCATAACCAATCCAATTCCCAAAAACATCCATCCTTGTTGCATGCTTGTAAATTTAAATAAATAATGAGTTAAGAAAGTTAAGGTAAATTCCAAGCCACTGTACACGAACAAATACATGAAATATACGCAACCCAGTGTTTTTAAATTTCTTTTCTCTGAAATTATATACATAATTTTTATTAATTCCTATAAAATGTATAATATATCAGATTATTATGATTTCACCTTGTAAATTTAGACCAGATACTCCATTAAATTGGAACAAGTCTATAGGATTAATGTAGATAAGAATTCCAGATAAACCAGACATAAGACTATTAGTTCTATACTTCAATGGTAAAGATTCTTTTAAATAGCAAACAATGAAACACAAATCACTTGTTGCTAAAAAAAGAGCAAATAGAGCAGGTATTATATGCAAAGACCCTTTCTTATTATCATTAAAAGTCCATGCAAAAATTGCTCCTATCATTGGACCTACTACAAAGCCAATAGAAAAAGCTATGCCAACTAATGCCTGTAAATAAAAATGTCAATCCATTTATTTGTTATTTATATTCAGTGTTCTACTTATTTTCATTGATAGTTTATTTTAATAAACTTTACCATCGCTTTTCCCCTTGTTTTTAAAGTAGTAACATCACTTATAATAGCCATTGATAAACTAATATTTCCTTTACTAATACCGCCAATAAATCTTGCTAATACAAATATAGTAAAATTATAAGAAAGTGCCCATAAAAGGTAAGATAGTGCAATTCCTATTGAACAAAATATCATCAATGGTTTTCTTCCATATATATCTGATAACGCTCCTAATATGGGAGAACTCAAAAATTGTAGAAAAGAATACATAGAACCAAGAAAACCTATAAATTAAGTTACATATGTTTTTTGATGCTAATATATTAAAAACTATTGTAAAATGAAAAAAATGACTAACCTCCATAAAGCACATTATTAACCTTATCAGGAGCATCAAAAAATTTTCTTGCACTTTGTATATAATACAAGATTTTAAAATATATGCCTTGATCATCTTCTATTTCTTTATAATAATCTAACAAAGCTGGTAACAGCGGTAATATCATAGTAAATGCCAAAAGATCCAACAATAAAGAAATAAATACTACTTGAACTGTATTATCTTTTAGTTTAATCATTATTGATTTTAATATGTTACAATATATAATATATAATATAAAAATCTTTAAAAGAAATACTGTAACTTAAAATACAAACTATCGTCCATTTGATGCAAATTAGTGTAATTAAAATTTTTCACAATTAACGCTTATCAATCCATCGTATAATTAATATTTAAACAATTCCACTTTGACAATTTCCACAGCAATCTTCGTAACATAAATTAATTTTTTCAGAAATGTAAAGTCTGACTTAATTGTGATACTTTCTATTTGTGCCATCGTAAACGTTGAAGATTTAAAAGCAATGAGTGAAAGGGTTTGACCTACTTTCCACTGTATTTCACTTCGGTAATTCTTTACCGACCGTACATACAATCAATAAAAAAGAAATCTGTTTTATAACCGAATCAAAAAAATTACGATCAAAATATTTTTTCATCCGTCTCTATTATTTAGAATAGATTATATCCAAATCTAAATGTTTGGAACATTATTTAAGACCTATAACTATAAGATCTAACTATTTATAGAAAAAATTATTCGCGAAAGGTTTTATGCAACTTTCATATATAGAAAAATAAGTATAATGTTCCCTTTTTATATATTATATTATAACCGAAATTATCATAATAATTTACCTATACCTATTATGACAATTGACATGAAATTAATGGAATTTACAATTATAATTTTCTTAAGTACTTTCGATGTTGATATTAGCATAAAAGTACGAGTAAATGATAATAATGTAAATAAAAACAAAGCAGTATAATTTGTATAAAAAATTGACGGAAATTGTAAAATATTTTATTCACGTTCTAATAATGAATATTGTAGTCATTAAATCATAGTTAATCAGTACGTTGTTTTTATTTGTCAGTGAAGCGAAAAATAGCACAACAGGCACACCCAGAAACATTATGTATGTTCAACTTCCGGTTGTTATAAACGACATAAAGTATTCGTATACACGGACACGTTTAAATTCGACCACGGATTCACTTCCTTGACACGAACAAAGATCTTTTGTAATTCATTTTAAAGTGTAATATCACTTGGAGTAACCGTTTGTCAATACAAAACATTATTACGTGTATGTACATATGTATATAGACGTGAAATTTTTTGCGTAATGAAGATGCAAGTGAAATAGATTGCAAGGAAAGAGAAATATTTGTTTTATTCGTGCTTTTAATATCGTTAATTGTGTTAATAGTAAAAACAAACACTTTTGCAGTACATAATATTAAAAATAAAATATTGTCAATTAATACAGTGTAGTTGAAAACTGACTTATCTACACTTTGCGCATACGTAAATGAATATATAGAAGAGATTGATGAAAATGAAACATCTCTTCTTTGATTATATACCCTATTGATACACATGCGCGCGCGCTCGCGCGCGTAATGTTAAAATTTTAGAAATAGCTTCAAACTACACATAGAACAGGTGGTCTGAAAAGCAGGAGTGTTATATGGTGAAAATTTAAGCAAGGGATTCATCGCTTGCCATCTGGGCTCTACAGTGTGAAGCACATGCTGCACATCGATGCCATTCTCTATCATGTGTCGATATACTTAAAAATTTTTCTTATTTAAGGATAAATAACGAAAATAATAAAATAGAAAAGAGATCGTAGCGTTTACAAAGTTCATCCGGTTTAATTTCACAGATAAAATTGAAGAAATTGGACGAATGAAATACTTTTTACTGTGTAAATCTGCGATAACAGATTAAAATTTGATCTTTTACTACCAATGTTCAGTCGATGCAAAGTTCACATTAATATCGTTTGGTTTTTGTGACAATAAACGCAATACATAAAATCAAGAAATTTTGAGAGAAATCTAAGCGAAGCAACGATTACTATCGCATCAGTTCATTTCAACGACAGCAGGTATGCAAAGGGACAAAAGAACTGAACTTAAAATCCCGTGGGGGTTTTCATAGAGAATGAAGAAGAAAGAAAGAAGGAAGGAAATAAGCACGGAACAAAGTAAGCAGATGGAAAAATCCCTTGGTAGAGAAAATCGACAATTTCCTAGGAAGCATAGCTGTCGTAAATGTACAGTGGAAATTCTCTGAACAATGAGAACAAAGAAAATTTTTGGGTACCACGGCGGTCTACGTACCGGCTGTGCGGCAAGCTGCATCGTGTGCTGCTACACACCGTAGAAAACCCTACTGCTCGCGTAAGCCCTGTATAGGTATTATAAACTAGGTGTACGAGGCTTTCGAAATCGGACAGCCTTCGTATATGCCATAAACACGAGTAGATCTTCTCTCTCATGGGTTATAAATCCTCGATCTGTACGGTATTAAAGGGAAGATGACGGTCCGTCAACCCCCGATACAACGAAAAGACGTGTTTGCTAGAAGGTATATTGAAAACGGGATTCGAATGCTGCGATGTCGCAGTTTGAAGGGTGAGAAAAAAGAAACCAACTGAAATGAACGAAGGACACAGGTAGATAGGAGGGGAAAGAGGAAAGAATGAGAAGAAGGGGGAGCAGCGAATGTTCGGACAAAAATAAGGAAAGAAAGGGAAAAGGAAAGGACTAGCGAAAAAAGGATGGAAGAACATGGTAGAAATAAGGAGAACAGAGGAGTACCGTATGCGTTCGAGCCGTGTACATCTATATAGAGTGTATAGTACCAACATAGGAATAAGGATATGTAAGCGCGCGTGCCCGCGCAACCGACAGCAGATGCGCTCGCAGCGGCAGCTGTCCTCCTACAAGTGGTTCTCAATCACTCTCTGTTTCCAATTCTGTTTCTTCTTTCGCTTACTAACGCATGTCAACATCAATGAAAGAATAACATTAAGGTAACATCTTATTTGGAAACTTATAGCAACTCGATCGAACAGTTCAATCAAATTGTGAGAAAAGGCCAAGCACTTCTTACGACGATCGTTTGATTTTTTAATGATGATTTTTTAATTTGTCCTTTATGTTGCAGTTGTTTATGTTTGGAAATAAGACGTTGCACATTTTGATAAATTTAAATTAAAATTACAGAAACAAATGTTACATGCAATTGAATTAATCTCAAGGAAAATTACACATGACTCGATCTTACAAATTATCGATTTATGGAAAATTAAAATTTGATTCATTTCTCACCTAGATAATTGATTTTTACCGAAAGCAAAATTTACTTGTAATTGATATTATGTAATATGATGCAATATCATTAGATTATGCAATAGCATTGGGATTTCGTGTATTTAAGGTAGCAATAATTAATTTTGCAATCATAAAATGAAGAAAATTATCGAATGTTCATACAACGTGGAAAGAAATAGTATTTCATCAACGAATATGGATGCTTAACTATCAATGTTCTTTTGTCAACGTTGTGTGAATCACACGCGTTCAACATTCGCACGTTTAATCGTTTGTAACGTTTCACGCTACAGTTTCATAATACAATGCAATTTGCAAGAAAGCTTTGATTTTTAATATAAATATGCGAAAAGTCAACCGTTTTATGTAAAAATAAGTTAATAATATTAAAACGTTGTTTTTAAAATAAATCTGAGGAGTGTCGCTGCATAAATTATAATAGCCGTACTGTTGTAAAATTCGACTGACCCTTTTTTTCCCATAGGACAGCTACCTGACAAAAAGACAGAACAAGAAGAACCGTATACGTCACGTACTTGACAGGCGGAGTAATATTCAGGACAGCTGATACAATTTTGGCGGGCTTTACCGATAGATCTGCCGCGCAAAGTGGTACAAGAGGAACGAAGAAAGCAGATGAGATGAAAAGAAAGGATAACCACTCGAATGAATAGGAGAAAGAGATGAGTAGTAAGAAAGTAGGAGGAGGGTAACGGAAGGGAAAAGAAGGGGAGAAAAAGAGACAGTGATCGAGAGAAGAAAAGGGGAGGAAGTTAGAAGAATTGAAGGTAGAACCTAACAGAGAAAGACAGAGTGTAGAAAGAGATCGAGAAAAAGATACGAGAAGGAAAAAGAGGGAAGCTTTAAAGTTGGTTGTTGTTGGTGTTCTTGCTTCGTTGCTGTTAAATAAGAATAAGCCCCCACTATTGGCCCTAAGGGGTACCTATATAGCTGGGGGCTTTCGTGTACTTGGGACCCAAAAGGAATAAAGAGAGGAGACACCTGGTCACGGGCAGCAGTTAGTCGAGAACTCTCTGGGTGGGATGTTGTCGTTGCATCTTTCGTGCATCTTTTTCGGCTATCTTGTACTCGAGAAGCACGAGTCCAGCGAAAGAAGTTTTGAAAGTTCATCTAGTTATTGTTATAATTATTGATATCATCATCGCCATTTTCGCGATCGTCATCTTCGACGTATCGTAAAACGCATCGTGACATATATGCAGTATCTTGTCGATAGTGTCGTGCAGTGGACGAGAAACTTTGATCGTTTGGTTTCCTACGTCGATTTTGCAGCGTTTTACATCGCACTTTCCAACTAGGTGAGACATACGAAACGAGTTGGGACGGAACGGGACGAGACATGGGACGTGCGCGAGGGGTAAGGAAGAGAGAAGTTAACCGTGGCGCGGGATATTGGCAACCGGCGAAAGACGTCATTTGCTTTGATTTGGGGGTGAAGGGTGTATACCGGTAACGTGCTTTTGTCAATATGTGTATTCTCTGCGATACGTTTGTGACGATTATAAAATCGGAAAATGAATTGTTTCTTTGCTTTTTTAACATCGTGTACGAAAATATGATCAAGATTGAAGAAACGGTCTATCAAAAATTGTACTTGTCGAAAATCATTTGATCGAATATGCGTCGTAGGTATGTGTGTGAAAATTAATTGAGAGAATTGCAGAAATTTCCATAAACGATGTTTTTGACGTCGTGTTGATGTGTCATTAATTGCATATTTGTTGTAAAATTATACAATGCGTAGTCGATATGCTAATTACAGCTAAATGTAAAAATCTATGAAATAATAGATTCAAACTCGTGTACGAAGTAATACTAGCACACGACATATTGTACGACATATTAATAAAAAGAAAAGGAAAAACAAAAAACAAAAATAATATTTTGTAATACCGTATATTATATAAAATAACGAAAATTTTAGAATACCGTAGTAAGTGTTTTCTATGTGGATCATTCAAAATGCAGTTCTCTTCGATTTGGAAATTAACTATTTGAAGACCGAGTCGAAGAGATTGTCCAAAAATCCTGTTCGCGGATTAAAAGAACTTCTCAGAAGCACGTGTTTACGTCAATGTTATGTACGACTAAAGTTTTTGTTTCCAATAATTAAGCGAACTTCTTATAACCACATAGAATGAAATATTTCCCTTTCTAATATTTTATTTTTCTAAATAGAAATTTCGTTGTTCAATCGGTTCTAGTTATGAACGCAATTTGTCTTGGTGAGAGAAGATTCATCGTTTTGCATGGAAGATAGGTCGAGATTTGTGACAATGTTTCGTGGTGATATAATCCTCAATATTGCACTTGTCCCGGCCTATCGGAGTGCATTATATTCCATCGTAGAAAACGGAAGACAAAGGGGGATTAAACATTGGCGAGAAACGAAGGACAAGTCAGAAGACGATACTAATTTAACCAAATACGTCGAAGATGCTGGCAGGTTGGGATGTGGGCATTATTTGTTGCAAGGTTAGATCAAATTGCACTCGTCCCGGCCTGCTGGATCTATTCGACCAACCATCATCATCTGTTGCGTTTTCCATACTAGTCAAAAATATTCTTCAGTTTATTTATTCTAGAAAGAAAAAACTCGTAATGTTTGTTAATATTTAAGATCGTTTGTTGATCTAGAAATATATTATTCATTCGATGATGTACAGTAATGTCCGTTACGTTTTGAAATAAAAAGAAAAGAATATTAATTGAAATGTAATGGTAAAAGTTTAAAGCAATATTTTCTGTCATACTGTTTGGATAAATAGTATGGAAAATAAAAATGTAAAATTTAAACGTCACATGTTTTTAAACACATTCTAATATGTGTTGCAAATTTTGAATTCGCGTATTTTTCGTAAACCATGTGTATGTGGAAATTTAAATAATAAAGTACATTTTAAAAGGAACAAAAAGTCAAGTTTACCCTATGTTAAATTTATTATCCTAAACCTATCATCATGAAGATTAGCGATTTTTATTACTACTAAATACTAAAAATTTCGTTAAAGCGCATGATAGTCTTTCATTTTATTTTAAAGCATGGTGCAAATGAAATTATTGACCGGAATTGGCCGGTAATGGGGCAATTTTTATTTCATAGTATTTACTATTAAGATTATTCGTTATTCAAAACAAATACATACATCCTCGAAGGTTGATAGCTAACTAGATGATTTAAAATTGATAAATATATATAAAACGTTAAATTCGCTTAAAAATTCTGTTTGGAAAATTTTCTTAGTTCTAATGCAATATGCGGAAAGAAGCAAACTTTCCTTTTTCCTCTATTTCTTTTCTGCTTATTGAATTTGTTAAATAGATTCTAATAATAGAACAGGTAAACGAGAGATAGAACGTGCCTCGATATTTGTTTCTTGAATTTCGAAGCAACACAAACATACGAGGTATGTTGTTGCTTGGAAAATACATTGAAATATTATTCAATTCTTTTCTCTAGTAATAAAATACAAAGAAAAAAAGAAAAGAGAAAACAAAAAGACTAGGGGTTAAGTTACGTTCGATCGAATAAGAAAACACAATGAAAGTAGTCGAGCCGATGGCGTTTCCCTCGTTGGTTGATGGAACATGAATTTTGTTTTTCATTCATATTCTTCAAGTAGAAGACGTGGTGCAACCATCCCCTTTTAAGAGTCCCACGGTTTGAAATAAAACACCTGGCTTCTTCCCTATGTGTGTACTATATAGTGTTCGTACGTATACATACGTACAATTACATGTTAACACGTTTACGCGCACGCATATTCTCACGGCAAAGAACTGCTTCTCTTCGTGGACTGGTTTTGGCTTCCTTATAAACTTTATTCAATTCTTTGTAATATGCTAAAGGGTATACTTAAAGATGTGTGCGTATATATGTACACATATATATGCGTTTACCATTCATATGCTAAACAATAAATGTGCTGAAAGAAATGAATCTCTATCTTGTAGATACGACTGTGCAGCTGCCATATTCATCTATTATATTATGTATGTACGTGTTTATTGGTAAAGAACTTTTCAATTATAAAACAGAAATGAACGATGCGTCGATGCATTTAATACAAAAAATTGAACATGTTTCTTTTAACATCATTTAACACGTTTATTATAATGTCGATTTTACGATTGATTACTTTTTTTTATAGTCTCTTACATCTTGATTTCAATTGTTTATTTGATCTTCAATTAGTTATCCTATTATCTACACATCTAATTTATAGAAACTTCATTTAATTACATTCTTCTCAATGTAATTTTCACAAACAATAATATTTAAATGATATTTAGACAATAGTCAAAGTTTTTTTTGTATCGTTCATATTAATTCGTAAATTGCATTCGTGTAAGTTATACTTTCTATGAAATATTTATGTTAAGTGTAATTGATATTAATCATTTTATTTAATATAAATATATCATATTTTATAAATAATTGCATTTTTATTTGATTAATTTCATATAAATACATTTAGAAATATGAAATCCTATTATAGAAAAATAAACAGTAGATTTTGAAATTTTCTTTCCCAAAAAAATTAATTTTTTTAACTAATATAGTTTAAATATAATATTTTGTTTAATATTTCTTTTTATTTTTTATTCAAGTAATGTATTCAATCTTGTTATATATAACTTAAACGATAAAGTCAAAATGCATTGAAATATTAGAGTATTTGAATTTTTATTTCGATACATTATTTCGTGCTATTATTATTCAAATGAAATAGAAATTCAAGAAATTGGAGAAATCTTTTGATAGGAATTTTATAAAATCATACATTATTTATGTTCTAGATGTTTGCTAATTTCATAGAAAGAAAAAAATAAAGCCTGTACGTAGGCAACCAAATAAATGTTCAAGTAGAAACGATAAAGGCATGTAGGCTTTATACTGTACGCGTTACATATGTTTTCGCCAAAAAAATTTACTCTTAAATGAGAGAAGTACACAGAATAACATAAATAAATGTCTCCAGTTTTGGGATTTTCAGTTATATCTTAAGTAATATTTAAGAAAAGAGATTTTATATTATAAACAGTATTTAAAAAGTATCCGTTATGAGTCGCTTCAAATGTGTCTTAGATAGGTTAGTAGTGTTGAACATACTACAATTTATTTAACTTGATAGCAAGTTAGGGATTTCATTATTTGATAAGTATAATACATTATGATATATTCTTCTCTTCTTCTTTCTAATCCAAGAAAAGAACTTGTTTTACAGGATTTCATGGTGTGAGATAAAAAGATTCAAATCTTCAATATCAGTATCAAATTCTAAGGTTTGCATACCATATAGAATAAAACGTGGCCCTACCGATATTTTACGTGTAAGTATATTGAATGGAAGCTTGTTTTTGTGGAAAATAATTTTATTTTGTTATTTATTCAACTTAGTAAGTTTGTATTTTTTTTTTAAAGGCTCTTGAATCTACTATACCAGAAAATATTGCGACCAAGAATTATGTATTTCGTAAAGATCCATATTTATCTCCAACCGGGACAATAAATAATCGTTCTTATGGATTGTCATATGAATCAGGGAGAAAAGCTGCAATATGGATACATAACGAACATAAAGATTTATTCCCAAAACATCTTTCAGAGCCACAAATTGATGTAAATTTTATTTATTATAGATGTAATATACGTATTATATTCCATATTTTTAAACATATATTTAAGTAATTTTTTACTTATATTTAAGGCATTTACTCCATCTAAAAAATATACAGATAAAAGTGAAGTATCAGAGGAAATGCTTTTGCATGCTATATCTTGTCGTAAAATATCTGATGCTGTACATATTTATAACTTGTTAGAAGATAATATCTCTGATGAAACAAAACAAGTACTTCTAGAATTATTATGCTTTTATCAGAATGAAAACAAATTACTGAATAAGTTACACTTTGAACTACATTTTCAAGCAATTAATGAAAAATATACGTTGGGGTAAGTGACAAAAGTATCATAAGACTAGAAAATTATATTTATGTTTTACTATTCTCAATAGTTTTATGATTTATGTTCCATATTTACATCTCTTTGTTTCTAATAATTTCATATTTCAGGTACAGGTCGGAGATTAATAAATTATATCAGTCTCTAATAAGTGTAGCTTCTCCAATAACAGTAGCAGCAGCTCACAATACCATGATATGTGGTTTAATAAAATCCTCAAAAGTACTGATTTTAATTCCTATCCAAATGCTTGTATTATTTTTAAAATGTAATGTATTTGTATATTTATATTTACAGATGCAGGAAGCTTGGTTATTATACAAAAAATGTAGAGAAGAAAATGTTCCATTTAATGTTACTACTTACAATTATGTATTGTCACTATACAAACACATGTTTGATAATGATATTTATCTAAAAATGCAAAGTATGTTTGAAATTCTTACGAAAATGAGTAAGGATGGAATTAAACCTAATATTAAAACATTAAATACTGTTCTTCAAGTAATTAGTACAATTCATGGAAAAGAAATTTTCCATGTTGTAGAACATGTTGTTAGACAGTTCATGTCTATTGGTATAAAACCTTCATTAGCAACATATGCTTATATGTTGTTTACATTACAGAATCAAGGTAATTATAGTTTTTTCATATTCAATTTGTTTCAACAGTTTTCATACAAAATTATATTTTTAATAGGTGTATTAAGAAATACATATGATAAATTTAAAGATATTATAGAACAAGTTGTAAGCCATGAAAAATTTATCATTGAAGATGCAATGGACTATAAATTTTTTATATGTGCTATGCATTTAACTCTAACTTTCAATGATAGGAAATCTGCATACCAGATTGATGATCTGCTTCTTGCACAGGACAAGTGGTTTTTATATCAAATATCAGTATGTTTTGTTTAAACATTTTACACAAAACTATTCAATATATTGCCGTTTTATTTATTAACTAGTTGCTTCTTTAAATAGGAAACCAATTATTACATTAAATATATATTATGTATATTATCAAACAGCAATTTCTCAGAATTTTTCGGTTTATATACCAGTCTTGTTCCGAATCGATATCTGCCATCAAAGTATGTCTACAATGATATTTTAAAGAAATGTTCATACATAACAATAGAAGAATTGACGACATATTTACCAAGATTATGGTCAGATTTAGATATGATACATAATTCAAATCTTGAATTGAAGTTGACTTTTCTACGTTTATATCAAATGAACATGTTATCATTTGAATCAACTTTAAAAACAACTTTTATGAATATAGCTCAGAATTGTTGGGATATTATTAAGGTTAAATGTGTATTTATTTATTATACTGTTAGATGTAATAATAAGGGAAGAATAACAAGAAACCAATTTTGATATTTGTAGATGAAAATGAACTCTGCAAAGTACGACTTTTCAATTGAAACTAACATGATGGCTTCTATAGCTTTAATATTCTTACATGGAGATAATATAAATGAAAGTATTAAGGTTTTGGAATATACTGTTAAAACATCAAATATGTTTATTCCAACAATGACCGACAAGCAACTGAATGAATTATTTGAATATTATATTTCAAAGCAATGTACCATAGGAGCTTTCGTATGTATATTCACACTTATAATGTCTTTCACTTATTCAAATCTAAAATTCGAAAGTGTAAGTTTAAAGTATTTCCATTTTTTTCTTTTACAGCTTGTTCTTGAATGTTCCATAAACTTAGGATTTAAACATATTGTTCAAAAGGCTACAGAATTATATAATCTTCCCCAGCTTACAAATGATGATCGTGACAGATTGACTAATTTAGTAGGGGCGAAAATGTTGCATACATCAAAATCAAATTAATTATGAGAAAATATTCATAACATCATTTAATTGCAAATTGTCTTTCTCTTATTGTCATCATATTGCGTTTAATTATAGAAAATTAATAATATTTGGAATTTATTAAATTTTCTTTATATGTATAAGAATTTCAATCAATTTGTCATTCAAAGAATAGAAATTACACGCATGATTGGAATGTATTAATGTTCTTGCCCCCCTAGCTAAGGTACTTAGGACTAATAAATTAAGTCGTGCGGCAGTGGGAGATACTGTTCTCTCGTCACTCAAATACTTATTTCCTGCATCGCACAGCTTAACATTGTAACTCACTCGTTCACGTTCAAAGGCTAAAGTGTCACGATATTTATCAATTGAAGAATTTTTCAGGCACAAGAAATTTCTTTTGTAGATTTTCCATTCGTTGTCTTTGAGAGTTATAACTTTTCTTCATAGTATCAGAGTGATGGATGAGGAAGGGCACGTGCGTCTTACATTGGAATTTGTGCGTAAATTAATAATCAAAGATGAACCTAACGTGGAGATTACCAGTTTAGAAGAAGAACTCGGTTCAGGAAGAGGTGATAATTATACATCTATGTTGTACCGCATTCGTGCAAAAGGCCGAAAACAAGTAAGGAGCTGTGAATGGATCAACTACGAACGAGCTATCATTTACAAAGTCTTACCACGTTCAAGAGAACATCGTGAAGCTTTTAAAAGCGAATTACTATTTCAAAACGAAGTAGCTTTTTATACGTATGTGTGGCCAGCTTTAAATGAATTACAGAAAAATGGTAGAAAAGTTTTTAGTGGAGTTGCAAAAATATACGCAGCGCAAATCGATATAATTGCTATGGAGGATTTAAGAGAAAGGGGCTTTAAAATGGCAGATAGAAGAAAGGGATTACAACTTGAGCATTTGAAACGAGCGTTGAAAGCTTTAGCGGGTTTTCATGCACTTAGTTTAACCCTTAGAGAAACGAGGCAAGTCAAATAATGTTTTCTAGTTTTTATTTATATTATTATATCCTTGTATATGTGCGTATATTAATATATATGTATGGATGGTATAAGGCCGGAAGAATTTGCAAGATTAACGGATCCAAATGGAGGACAGGGTATACAAGAAGCTCTTTTCCGAACAGAAAATGAGGATTGGTATCGCCAATATTATCAAGCTGCTGCTAAGAATGCCATCAGAATGGTTTCTGATGCCCTTCCTACACACATGGAATCAAAGAGAGTAGAAATAATGGAGAAACTACGAGCGTTTCTTAATGACGATGTTTTTTTTCGTACTATGAGTGAATTAGCAGCTATGCAAGGACCACTTACTGTTTTTTGTCATGGTGATTGTTGGACAAATAATATTTTATTTAAGGATGACTTGACTAGACCAAATGAAGAAGTAAGTATTATAAGCAGATAATACTTATTATTATTCAACAACTAAGCAAAGAATATCTTCTTGACTCATATGATCGTATAAGAATTTATAAAATGCGTTGTACGTGTACGCATATATTGTTCGATTCTATTATATAGGAATCGGAAAACTAAGAAATAATTTTTCTCTGTATAATTTTATTACTCATTCATTTATAAGATTTGTAGTATACTATAACTTTTCTGCTTCTTATTAATTGTCTTGTACAAGTACTACTTTAGCAGTATTGAAATAAAAATTCTTGTAATTCGTAAAATTACTATTTCATAAAAATGAAACTTATTCAAATTCAACTACTAATTTAATTTTCTCTAGGTTGCAAGTATTATACATACTTCATGGTATAAAAAAATCATGTCTTATCAGTGTTAAAATAGTCAGGATTTTTATAAATTTTGCCCCCATACTTATCAAAATTTATTGAAAGAAGAAAAAATGAACAGACATAAGTATAGTGCAAAAATATTTATCTTAGGTTTTTACTTTGCAAAGTAAAAATAATATGAATATGAATGTCAATATTGATCAAATTATGTTAACTTAGGGAATAGAAATTGGAAATATTGCAATTTAATTAGATTAAATCTTAAATTACGGTTAATGCTATGACTTTACAGGTTGTCTATTTAGTTGATTTTCAACTATCTCGAGTTGGCTCTCTTGCCCTTGATCTTGCGAATTTGTTGTACTGCTGCGCAAATGGAGAAATTAGGCGAGCACACATGACACAACTTCTTCAACATTATCATTTCCATCTAATGTCTTCGTTACATACGCTTAATCCAGAACAGCCACCAAAAGATCCATCTGTGATGTGGGAGCTGTAAGTAACATTATGCGCAATGTGTTCATAAGAGAAAAGGGGATATCAAACAAATTTCTTAAAAGATTATTCTCATAACAGCTTTGCTTCTAATATTGTTGTTTTATTCATCGTTTACAGATTAAACGAAGAAATGCGACGATGTGGGCGATTTGGCGTAGGTCTTGCATTAGATATTTTACCAATTAGTACATGCGAAAGTGAAGAGGCACCAGATTTATATGAAAGATCAGAAACAAGCAAAGGAAAGCAAAGCACACGAGCACCACCACGAGGAGGAGCCGAGTGTGCGCGACTCATGACTGATTTAGTTTTGGAACTCGTCCACAATCATGCTTTATAGGTTGAATTATATAAAATTTTTATGAATATCATTCATATATCTCACTTGTGCTGCTACAAAGTAAATTTATCTTATTTATCATAGCATAGTCTTATGCAAATGTTTATACTCAATTAAAGAATTTATAAATTTCAGTAAAATTTGGCATTTATATAATACAAAAGTTTATTTAAAATATCTAATTATATGAAATTAGAGTAAATAAAACAAACATTCTGTATTGCAAAAATACTATACTCGGTATTAAAAATTTTATCTATAAATAGTTATTTCATCCACAATAGTTTCAACTATAAATATAAATTTCATATGTATGTTGTTCTGACCAATAATTAGAGTTGATAAATATAATATTTAACTTACAAAAAATTATGCTTGTTGTGGAGGTGTATGAGATGGTGGTTGTTGTGTCGGTGCTTGCGGACTTGGTGGTTGTTGTTGCTGTTGTTGTTGCGCAGTAGGTTGCCATGCCGGATGTTGATTTTGTTGCTGTTGTTGCTGCTCTTGCGCCAAACGTTGATGCGCCTGTTGTCTGGCTCTGAATTCTGCAGCTTTTAACTGTTCCAAATGAAATTGCTGTCTTTCTGTAATGAGTTGCTGTCGCTGATATTCAAGACCTTCGCGTTCTCGTTCCATCGTAGTTTCCAATTCTTCAAAATGACGTAATTTAATTTCCAACTTCTTCATTTGCGTTTCAACAAGTAGTGCCACCAAAGATTTAATTTTACGTTCTTCTACAGCTGCTAAATGTTTCGCTTTAACGGCAGCTGCTGCTAACGCTGCGGCAGCTGCAGATTGGAGTTGAGCATCTCGCACCACCTATATCATTATTAAAAAAGAAAAAGGTGGAAAATAAATAAAATAAATAACAAAAGGTAATAAATACGATAAAGGTAATACGATAATGTTTAATGAAGATAAAAGTATAACAGAATTCACCTTGTCTTTCTTTTCTTTCGCTTCCATAGTTTCATTATCCACGGCCGATTTCGTATCCTCTTCGGTTTCTTTCAGCTCATCTTCCTTCTTCGTTATATCTAATTGACTTTGGTCAATATCGGATTCTTTAGGCTTTTCTTGTTCCTCTTTCTTCGTTTCTATTGGAGCCGTTGTTGTCGAATGTGGAGATGTAGCCACTGTAGCTGATACGTTTCCAGTAGCTGAAGCTGCTGTTGTATCATCTGGCGGCTCGGGTGGTCCCGTTCCAGCTATACCTGATTGTGCCAATCCTGCAGCTGGATCAAACTTGCCTAGGTAATTAAAATATAATTATTATTTTTTAATTATTAATTCTATTGCGACAAGAAAGGAATATCAAGATGCGAGTTAATTACCGTCAGAATTGGCACTGGCTTGAACATTCCTCAAGTGTTGATCTAATAAAGCGGCTGGTACTTGATCCTTAATAGCTGCAAATTCTTCCATAGCAGCTTTGGCTGCACTAGCAGCAACTCTGGGATCAACGACCGAGGCTAAAAATGCTACGGTACTCATAACTGGATTACCAGCTTTAGAAAATGGTACCGGTTGATAAGCTAATGGACCTAAACCTTCTGGTCCACCTTCTTCTAAATATGGATCTTCTATTGGAAGTCTCAAGAAATGTAATATACATTCGTCCTGCGTTCTGGAACCAACATGTTCGCACACTTTATTCCAATCATCTTTGTGTAATTCTAGTCCCTCTAATAGCAAAAGAGTTTCCTGTTCTGTCCAATCACGAGTAGCACCAGCAGCCTGTTTATTCTTCAAAACTGCTGGTTTCCTTGAATACTGATCGATCTTTAATCCAAAATTTGCCATAACACCAGCTGAAACTTTTTCCTCTGTTCCTAGACCAGATGATTTTTTTTCTAAATCGAGTAATGTCTTCGCTGCTGAAGGTTGCGGTGTTTTGGGAGGGTTCGGATTAACCGGTGCTAAGCCCGATGGGGTATCTGATAATACGTGGAAATGCGATGTTGGAGGTGGTCCCATGGGTGTTGGTCTTGATTCTGCGTCTACTTGGTAATTAATAAGTCCCCATTGTTCCAAAAATGCATGTACACGCATAATGGCGCATACATCACCTGCTAAGTTACGTCTACAAGCAGTTGAGGTAATGTATTCTGTAGGATTTAATCTGTATGTGTCGATCATAAAATTTCTGTATGCAAGATAAATTTCTGGCGTCTTAGATTTATTTTTACCATTAAAAAACTCGGATAAAGCTCTTTTCTCGATAGTATGGATCGAATTATAATCAAACCAAGCAGAATAACTAGGAACAACAATATGGTGCGTTTGTTCAGTAACGTTATCTTCTGGTTCGTCTCCTTTATTCCCTTCTCCCCTTTCTTTACTTGCGTCGCGTTCTTCTCTATCTTGAGTACTTTGAGAACTTCCTTTATCCCCTTCCATAGGTTCATCTAAGTCTGCCATATTACCAGATTTGAGCGGCTGAAGCTCGTTATCTTGTTTTTTACTACCCGTTGTTGTTAAAGTAGTGCCAGTTGCTGGAACATTACCTTGACCTGTTACCGGTGGGTTCGTAGGAGTAGCAACTACTTCTACGATACGAGGTTCCGCCGGTGGATCTTCCATACCTTGAGTAAGGTCATCTTCCTCTTCTCCACCACCACGAGATTTTTTTGGAGTTGTAAGCGACGATGAAGATGTACTTTGAACACTCGATGGTGCTCTAGCACTTTTGCGTTTTCCTGGTTTTGGTGATGGACTAGGAGATCGTTTTCTTTTCGGTTTTTTCGCTGAAGGTGGGGGATGAGATGGTTGAGCCATTAAATCTTCCACCGAAAGACGGTATTTGTGTATTTTTTTTTGGCCATTTTCATCTATTTCATAGTCTTCCTCGTTCATCCATTCATTATACTGATCCAAATCTAATGCCCATGTTGCAGATACTTTGTATATTGACTTCATATTTGTACTTGTGAGTGTACCTTCTGGAAAGTCCCAAGGAAGATCTAATGTAGTCCAAGAATCATAACTATCTGGGAAATAGTACCAATGAAGAAGAACAGATCGTTCTCGTCTCATACAAGGTCGCGCATACTCTTCTTCCATAGGATCAACTGGAGGATAAATTATATGCGTTGCGTCTGCTTCATTTTCAGCAATACTACCTTGATGTCGGCGGACAACCTCTTTTACTTTCGCTGCTGTTGACTTGTCCACATCAGGTTTTACATACACACTTGGTATAACCATGCATCGATTCTGTACCAATGCTCGTTCAGCTGCCATTAACATTTCCACTGTCCTATCCATACGAGATCCTGACTAAAAAGAAACATTTATTTACATATTGTTGGCAAATTAATGCTTATAACAATGCACTTACCTTTCCAACAGGGAAGTCAAATCGACGCCATCCTTGTTCTTGTTTAAAACGATATGCTGTGGCAAGAATATGACATAAACCACCTCCAGGTTTAAAGTCTAAGAAACATTTCATCTAAAAATGAAATAAATAATTTAATTAGCTTCAAATATAGTATTTTATTATATTGAAGAATAAATACATACAGGAAGTCTTGTCATTGGTGGTTTTGAAACATTCTTTCCTAAATTATCTTCTTGAAATTGTAGTAATTGTACTATCAATGTAGCTAAGGTTTTGTTAGTAGGAGGATCAGTTTGGACATACTATAAAATATAATGTAAGAAAAATATTAAAAAATTTTGAAATAACATATTACTGCGTCATAAATATTTATACTGTTACATATATAATGTATAAAATAAGACATTCACATGCTACATCAAGAAATTAACATTTAAATGTATAAAGACAATATCTAATAAGATATACAATAAATTGTTAATCTATATATGTTGCTAATATTTATTACTGTTTGCATTAATGTGAAAATAAAATTATGATCGTAATAAAAATACAAAAATAATGATAGACACTTTTAAAGGAATAGATAAAATTAATCTGTGTTTAAAGGTGTTATCATAAATTCGTGATTGATCCCGTATTTCGACGCCGGCCGTTAGGATGTACCTTTTTGCAGTTTTTTAAGAGCCATTGTTTAACTCCATCGAGTTGTGTGAGAATTTCCTGGGACTCAAAAAATTTCGTATTGGGTCCACCGTCTTTTTTAGGTCCTAACGCGAGCATCCTTTACGAAATATTAACTTAAAAAAATGTTAGATATGCTACAAGAAAGAACACCGCGTTTGTTGCAAACATGACACACCTCTGAAGTTGGTTCGAGCCATATTATTCCAATATAAGAATATTTCAATTTACATTTGTAAATTTCTTTTTTAGAAATGAAAAACCTTCATAAATAAGTATTTTCTAATAAAAAGTCATATTATTCTTTCTCATATGTAATTATAACCTTAACTGATAATATTTACTGTTAACTATGAACGAAGCAAATAGTGGTTTAACGATTGGCAAACATGTTCGTCTATGCTCTTAAATATGGTGATCCAAAATTATTTGGTATTCACTTACTGCTGCTTCATAGTACTGATTATAATCTAGGGTGGTTGAGATCATAAATTGTATTAAATTATACGATGTATCGAATGTGTGATGGTAATTATGTCTGATAAAGAAGATATAGATGTCAATAAAAAGTTTGAAGATTTATTATTTGCCGAAGAAAATGCCCAATACGTAGGTTACAAAGAAGGTTTTGAGGTTGGCAGACAGCAGTTGGTAAATGGGTTTCATTTTGGGTATCACAAAGCTAGTTTATTAGGTGCACAATTAGGATATTACAGTGGTATTTTAGAACAATATTTGAATGCAAATAAATGTAACTCGGAGAAAGGTGTTTGTATTGCAAAAGAACTTTTGCAAGATATTTATAATTTTCCTAAATTTAATGATGATACAGTGGATGTATCGAATGCTATAGACAATATTAAATTCAAGTATGCCAAGTTTTGTGCATTAATAAAAATCTGTTCCTCATATCCAGAAACAGATAAACTTGAGTTTTAATTAAACAAAACCGCAATATTTGAATAAACGCTAAACAAGAAAGTTATATTTGAACCGAACAATATTGTTAATATCTGAGACCAGCTTAATATTTTCTATTTCTGACAACAGTAAATATATTATTATTTAAAAAAAATTAATTGACTTTATTACTGAAAACTTATTGACAATATGTTCACCAGAAGCATTACAATTAGAATTAAAGGAAAATTAATTCAATTAGTGTTTTTGGACACAAAATAAGAATTATCCTATATTAAATAAACTAATGAAACTGGCAAAATCTTTATTTTTTCAAGCATGTTCAATAGAAATAAATTCAGAAGATTCTGCAAGTAATGCAAATAAATACATGTATAAGGATGTTGAAATATAATTCATAAATGTAAGGAAATTACACTCACTTGGAAAGTTGACTTTCTTTGGAATGTTACTAAGATAATTACTGGAAAGCAAATAAAATAAATTATAAAAGAAGCTAATAATCTCTAATGCTGGTATTAACAATATTTAAATATATGTTCAACTTTTATAAAACAGCAGTATTTGAGTATAAATTATAGATAAATCATATTTTTTTTTAGGCACAATATGTAGTTGAAGAAATAAGTGATAGAACTGATTATATAAAAATGATAAAACAAGATTTTTGAAATTGAAATATAAATAAAATTAACTGGTTTATGTACTTATAGTTCTCTTACTGTTCTAATTATTCAAACATTCTTAGCTACAGGAGACATTAATATTTTATGCACAGTGCATTGTTATTATCATTTAATAAATGGAACATTTAATAACAATATTAGTTTTTCTAGAAGTGCTAGAATGTTAGCTGAACAGCCTATTGAAAGAAATACAAAAAGTAAATTTGTATTTTCATTATTGTTCTACAGAATAATTTTATAAATGGTTTTTTATTCCATAGGTATAATTATTTGTACTTTAATTTAATCTTAGTTAATTTTATGAAATATATATTATCCTTTTCTGTTTCTTTCTTTTTGATAGATATTCATATTGTTAGAGTAGATCAGGGAGGACCTCTTACACAATTGTCCACATTACATTTATTGGGTACATTCAAAAATTGGAATTGATTTAGATAAGGTATAGCAATAATATTATTATAAATAAATTAGTTAGATATTTTTTTTTAAGACTACTTGAATTTTTAGATTTATTGGACTTGTATTAGAAGCAGCTATTATGATGGATAGAATGTCATTTTTAACAAAGGGATAATCAATGTACTAAATTTACGTTATCGCGTTTATTTGATCCTATGTTATCTCCACAAGGCAATGGCAAAGAAACTTGAGAATAAAATGGCAAAAGACACAAATATAGAAAAGACAATTTTATTATGCATCCTCAAGCATTTTCATACACAGTATGATCAATAAAACTGTTATATCATCCAATAAAAATATATTCATTGAGAATGAATTATTTTATTATTTTATAAATTTTTCAGCAATTAAATTACGTGTCGTCAATTTCAGTAGATTGAAGGTAATCCATAACAGAAGAATATCCTTCTTCTTGTGCCATCGGAGCTAAAATTCCAGTAGGTCTTAAACCACTTTTTGTTCGACATATGCTGCAATTACACAAATCGCGGCATGGTGGACAAGCCCAATTCTGCAAAATAGATAATTATGAAAATTGAGTAAAAAATAATATGAATAAACATATACATATATAAATATACAACATACAGGATCCTTTAACGCGTCAATGGCATCTTCCCCATATCGTCCTTTTAAGCAAGGTCCACAAAATTGTCCTCTTACTCCAATGCACTCTCCAGATCGACATACTGTTTTCGTATCCAATGTTTTCTGTCTACATTGATGACAGCATGTCCCATTAATTTTACAGTATTGCTTCAACGAACTTTTTTTTGCAACATTGTTTAACATTTCATCTGTAATGTCATTAACAGATGGTATGCTATTTGGATCATATGGAGCCTTGGTTACTTGGTAAACGTGTTTTTTTGTTATATCATACAAATCGTCATCACTATACTGTTGTTCCTCTTGATCAACATCGCAAACTCCCATTTGCATTAGATCGAGCGATCGTTGAAAAGGTTTCGCCCATGGAAATAAAACTTGTAATTTAGGTCTATTGCTTCTAGATTCGATTGAATCCTCTTCCTCTTCTTCTTTATATCGAGAAATATTGAAATCATCTTTACTTCGATTCTTCATTGTACTCCTGGTATTATACTTTTTACGAAATCCAGCTTGTACATGTTTAATTTTAATAGTGTGATTAGTAGAACCACAAACAGTTTTACGTCTCTTTCTAGGAGGTTCATTTTCCGAATTTTCTATATCTTCATATCCTTTTTCTAGTTCTTTCACCTCGTTCGTCTGCTTTTTTATATCTTTAAAAAACTCAGCAAACTAAAACGTTAAATGCAAATAAAGATGAATTAAATATAGGTTAGAAATTTAAATCAAGTACTTACAACAGCATTCCTTTCAGCTATATTTCGTTTTCGTAAATTATCATAATCATTCTCGTCCATGTTAAAAATTAGCAAATCGAATAAATCTCATACACGGGTTAAACAGTAGAATATGTAAACGTTTAATGTATTAGAAACGTATTAGAATAACGCTTGTTTGAATCGTACCAGAGATCCTATGAATTATTGTAATCATGGCGTACTGCAGAGTAAATTTGGCGGGTAAAACTGGCACACGACTCAAGTATATAATGTAGTTAAGGTAGTGAGACATGTGAGAATGAAAAGGTATATATGTAGTAATAAATATTATTTTAAAATAATTTCTTAGCGTATAATTTAAAGTGATTATAATTAATCCAATTTTAATATTTAGACAATGTTTGTATTCGACAATGTTAAATTATCGAGTTTGTGCTTTTTAGCCATTATTGTTTAATTAAAAAAAAGAAGGAAGGAAAAAGTGACGAAGTTACAATGTATTTGAATTTGATGCAAGCAACTTGGATATTTTTGTATGTATCGATAATGTATATCGTGGAAAGATCTATCGTTTTCGAATATACCGACAAAAGTAATTGTAGATTTCTAAGTACTATTCGAACTATGTAGTCTATTGCGATATTAATAATGCTTAATATAATTATTGCAACGAATTATTTGTAAAATATGATTAAGATATTATAGAATTGTTTCATATCGGTATGAACATGATTCGATGCCACTTGGTGAAAGAATATCAGCTTATCGTATTTACTTTGAAATACAAATAGCCAAGGATTTCGGACTCGTATATGCGAGTTGCTTTCACTGCTGATAGGCTATGTAATTATATCGTTTTCCTTATCTTCGATATAAAGTGTATGCGTGACGCGGTGTACGAATGGTAGAAAAATAAGTAAAACAAGCTGCGCGACAAGGCTAAACACTTCAAAATCAATTCGATATATCGTATCCTTCATAATTTGGTAGTCTACTTGAGAAAATCTATCGCGAAGGAATTATTAGAGACAAGACAGGGAGACAAACAAAGAGAGAGAGAGAGAGAGAGAGAGAGAGAGAGAGAGAGAGAGAGAGAGAGAGAGAGGGGGGGGGAGGAGAGGGACGAGACTGAAGTAGATTCAAGCAGACGTGAAAAAGTAGTTCCAAATAGACAGTTGTCGCATTCATTGGTCACTGGTAGCAACGCATAGACTCAATTAATACGGACACTCAGCGGTTTCTGAAAAGGTAAAGACCTATTATAATTGAAACAAACGAGAAGTGCAAGGATGATAGGCTGTTTTGCTATACCGATAACACGATGTAAGCGTGATAACTTTTCTGGTAAATATTATTAATACTCTCGCTGATAATATTATTTTTTCCTTTTTTTCATTGTTTCATATTTAAGGAAAACCATATACGCGCGCATTTGTTGGTTGCCATTGGTACATTTTTTGAGCGTACAGTAGTTTAATATCATTTTACATTATATTGCGATACGATGGCGATTTTATGAATTAAATTCTACAGATTAGCGCGTGATTTGGATCAACCGGTTAATCGATTGTCTACACACAAAAGAGCTTTCTCTTTTTGGCGAAGATTATTTTTACGGCAAAATAAGCGTACGAGAGCATGATGTTGAAGAAAATTAGAGGGATATGTAAAAAGAAGGGATTCCTTTCGAATCTGTACTGTCAGGTAATGAAAAGCATTCACGTATATGAAATGCAAACAAATTTCGTATACACATTTTATCTACAGCTTTCAACTCTGACTATAGGGCGAGACAAATCATCGAACCATAACGTCGCAAGAAATTTTCGAACGGGAATCGAAATACGGCGCCCACAATTATCATCCCCTTCCCGTCGCGCTATGCAAAGCGGAGGGAGTTTTTATGTGGGATGCCGAGGGCAATCGCTACTACGATTTTCTCAGTGCTTACTCTGCGGTTAATCAAGGTCATTGTCATCCCAGAATTTACAAAGCTTTGATCGATCAAGCGAAAATTTTAACGTTAACTTCACGAGCGTTTTATTCGGATGCGTTGGGAGAGTTCGAAGAATACGTTACGAAACTTTTCGGGTAAGAACCATCTCCTCGATCTTGCACTTGCTCCCCCCTTCCACTTCCCCTCCCTGTATCATTCGATTGATTTTGTACCTCCTTTGAACGTTCTTTGCATCGATGATGTATTTTCGCATGTTTACATAACGTTTGCTCCCGCATCTGGTAATAAATGTATCACACTATACGACACGATCGTTGAACAACTACGAACACGCGTGTGAAAGGAAAACGTAATTTTTGTCGCGGTAAAAGCAGTAAAGTGTAAACATGTTCGAAAAAGACAGGAGAAATCTTAAAAATGTTGTAAAATGTCAAATTTTTAGATATGACAAATGGCTTCCAATGAACACGGGAGTAGAAGGCGGTGAAACCGCGTGCAAGTTAGCACGTAGATGGGGTTACACGTGCAAAGGCATACCACAGTATCAGGCGAAAATTGTTTTTGCCGAAGGTAACTTCTGGGGTAGAACAATGAGTGCGGTGTCCTCTAGCACGGATCCAGTCAGTTATAATGGTTTCGGTCCGTTTATGCCTGGATTCGAACTCGTTCCGTATGACGATCTCGTGGCGCTTCAAGAAATTTTAGCCGATCCTAACGTTTGCGCTTTCATGGTGGAACCTATTCAAGGAGAAGCCGGTGTCGTCGTACCAAAGGTAATCCTCGTTGTTCCGCTCGGATCGACACCTTTTCATTTTCCTTCGTTTCGATATTTCGAGACAACGAGCAAACGATTTTTTAAACTTTTTTATTTTCTAAGGAGGGATATCTGAAAGGAGTGCGAGAATTATGTACGAAGCATAACGTTTTGTGGATTGCCGACGAAGTGCAAACCGGTTTGGCCAGGACAGGAAAGCGATTGGCCGTCGATCACGAAAACGTAAAACCGGACATTTTAATCCTCGGGAAAGCTATGTCCGGTGGTTTCTATCCAGTTTCAGGCGTATTAGCCAACGATCCTGTAATGTTGACTATAAAACCTGGCGAACACGGCTCAACATACGGTGGCAATCCTTTAGGATGCAGAGTAGCTCTTGAAGCGTTACGCGTGATCGAGGAGGAAAAGTTAGCGGAAAATGCTGAAAAGGTCGGGCATATTCTCAGAAGCGAGCTCGAAAAACTACCAAAAAGCGTGGTTTCCCTGGTTCGTGGAAAAGGTTTACTCAATGCCATTGTTATCAGAAAGGACATCGATGCCATGGATGTATGCATTAAAATGAGAGACGAAGGCTTACTTGCGAAACCAACGCACGGACATATAATCAGATTGGCGCCACCATTGGTCATCACTGAATCGCAAATACGAGAATGTGCCGATATCATTTATCGGACTATTTCACGATATGCTAATTGATACATGCTCTATATGCTTTCTGTATATCGGGAAAATATTCATCTTAGACCAATTGTCTGTTATCCGTTATCCGTTACTCGTTACGCGTCATGCGTTACTCGTCAAACACCACCGTTTTAACCTGTAAGGATTCTCGATAATAAATTCTCACTTTAGTATGTATTTGCTTTTTCCTGTATGCATGTATTTCTTAATATCGACACGGACGAATGTTATCGTTACAATTCGGATAAACACATATAAGATAAATTGATGAAAGAAAATTCGTTTGACTATACCGAAAGCTGTCCAAGTTGTTATCTTCTGCATACACTTTGAAGAGAAAAAAAATTACTCGATTAGTTACTACATACTGGTTATTAATAGCTATACGTGATACGGTTCTATCCTACTCTGTCGCGAGATCAATGTTTATTCCGACGTTTGTCAGACGTTGGATTTCGGCTCAAATTCATACGATAATACAATTGTCTAGACAAATGCAGGCGACTGAACCGAACATTGACAATTGTTTTCTTTAAAATATATATGTATACATTATGTAACGCGCGCGTTTATCACGTATGACGACTTTTTTTACTATCGGATTATCAGATTATCGGTATTCGTGCAAAAATGCAAAATTAAAGACGAGTGCCTTTTATCAAATAATCCTCGTCTTGTTGTTCGCGAGTTGCGTAATCCACTTTATCCGTGCGGGTTGGCAATTCGTGTTACGACTATAAATTTTGTTTTTAATTAGTTTCGCTTCTGTGGAAGACGAAATGAAAGAAGAAACGAAAA